TGCGCCCCAACCGTGGAGACTTGCGTCTGAGTCCACCGTGAATTCCGGTTGTGAGCCGAAGATGGCCTTGCCATTCCAGGCGGATAGGTTGTCTCAGGATTCCGAGTCCAGGGAAACCAAGTCTGCATATGAGGCCCCTTTGCGAAGATGTGCGATCTTCAGGCGTTGGAGGGCACGATAATGGAGCGGGGCTGGGAACACTGCCTGGATTGAGGAGGCCAGCAGGCCAATGAGTCGTGCCAGGTGCCGCAGCTATAGCTGGGGGCGTGCAAGGGCGCGGCGTAGTTCCTTGCGGATTGAGCGTATTTTGGCCGGAGGGAGACTGAGAGACTCCGCTTCTGAGTCCACTGTGAGCCCGAAGAACTTCATGTGTTGGGAAGGGGATAGGCAGGGTTTTTCCCCATTGAGCAGGAAACCCAGCCGACAGAGTAGATCCATCGTCCATTGTAGGTGTTTCAGGAGGACCCCCCGATCTTGTGCCATGAGGATTATGTCGTCCAAATAGACTATCAGTCCTACCCCTCGGCTGCGCAGCCAAGCCATGGCAGGTCGCATCAACTTGGTGAAGCACCACGGAGCTGACGAGAGCCCGAAGGGGAGGCATGTGAATCGCCAAGGGTCGCCTTTCCAGAGGAAGCGTAGTAAGTCCCTGAATGACTCGGTCACCGGGACTGTTAAGTAAGCATCTTTGAGGTCTAATTTCGCCATCCAGTCCCCGCGAAGGAGTAAGTCCCACAGGAGATGGATGCCCTCCATCTTGAAGTGGCGGTAGCGCACTAGGGAGTTTAGGGCCCGAAGGTTGATAACTGGGCGCATCTGGCCGACCTTCTTTTCCACAAGGAAGATGTTGCTGAGAACACCTGTATGGGGCATCGGAGCTCGTTCTATCGCTCCCTTCATGCGGAGGGCCAATAGCTCCTTGTCTATTAAGGCTCGGTTTGCCCTTGAAAGTAACATGGGGAGAGGGGGAGGAATATGACACGGGGTGTCTACCAATTCTATGTGAAACCCCCTCACTGTGGACAGAACCCAGGTGATGTCTAACCAGGCATGGAAAAAAATGACGGAGTCTATGTCACGGTTCTCGCCGCAGCAAACAGACGGCCAGACGTGGTCACCCATGGAGTTCCCAACAAGGGACTTGAACCGGGGAACTTCGCAGTCCTGGTCCTGCTTCCTTCCTCTGAGCCACAGCAGCTTTTGTATTTCTATGTCATTCTGGTCCTGTTCATCCTGGCATGTCTATTTATCTTGGGGCTGTACCTTGACTTTGGCTGTGCTTCACCTGACCTTGATCAGACATTAGCAGGGTATTTAAACTCAGCCTCGCCCTGTGATCAGCATCAAGTCTTTGATCCTGTTGTGTGCTTTGTACAAGTGTTCCTGTTGTTTGAGCTGCTACTTGTTATTGACCCCGGCTTCTGACTACGTTTACTCTGACCTCTGGCATCCCTTGACTTCGGCTACTCCTCGTTGTTCCTGTCTTCTGGCATCCTTTGACCTCGGCTATCCTTTGACGATCCTGCTGTTTGAGTCCTTGCCTGTCCTGCGACTTGGTACTTCATCCTGCACAGCCCCCGTGCACAGACCCACAGGCCGGGTGAATTCTTACCTGACCACCTTGGCCTGTGGCTATCTGCAAGGGTGAGCAACATATCTGCGCTACAGACTCCCAACCCAGGTAAGACCCTGACAGTCTACTCCCTGCACAGATATTGGAAAAAAGCATGGGGTAGGTGTAGTCTTACCGTAAGGGCGTCTGGAACCGGGGTTCCCTTTGAAGCCTCTGGAGCGCCATTGTCTTCCACGAGAGGGGAAGAAGGGGGACTGGTGTCTCGTATCTTGATAAGGTGGTCTCTGGTAATAAGAGCCCCGTCCCGATCCTTGGGAGTTTAAATTTGACCGGCCGGACAGACGGCCCCTGAATCTGCCGGCCCTGGTAGAGACCCGTCCCTGAAATACCCTCTTCATAGAGGACTGGGTCTTGTCTAGGGCTGTGAAAGCACCTACAAAGTGCCCCAGATCCTTGATAAAGGAGTCTCCGAATAACAGGCCCTGGGCATCTTTGCCCGCTTCTGTGAGGGCGAGGTTGGCCAATTTAGGCTCGATTTTGAAGAGGATGGCTTTACGCCGCTCTATAGACAGGGAGGCGTTCACGCTGCCTGCTATGCAGATTGCCCTCTGCACCCAACCACGGAGTTCTTCCGGGTCGACCTGCCTGTTTTCAGTTCTGGCTAGTTCAGCCAGGTCGAATAATTTATCCAAGGGGCCAAAAATTTCCAGGTGTTTGTCCTGGCAGGACTTTAATGCTGAGTCCAAACCCTTACGGGGATTCCAACCCATCTCGGAAAGAAACTGTGTCATTTTTGGGTCTACAATAGGAGTCTCACAGACTTTACTGGGAATCAGGGGTCTAGGATATTCTGCCCTGAGCTTGTTGCGCGCCGCCTTGCTAAGGGGGCGCCGTACCCAGTTCTCCAGGTACTTTGCTACATGGGCATGATGGAGAGCATCCAGGTCAAACATAGGTTCCCCAGACGGGTCCATGAGGGTTGAACCCGCGGTAGCGGGGGAGTCGCTGCGAGAGCCACTAATTACCAACCCTGATAGGGCAGGGGCAAAAGGGTCAGTTTCCTGCCCGTCAGTCTCATCATTGGAGTCATCTACTGACTCATCAACAGCCTCCTCAGAAGACCCGATTTCTGAGTCGGAGTCGCTCTCTGCATGTTGTCTGGCACATTTTCAGTGCTGCGCCCATTCTGCCTAGCGCGGAAAGGCTCTCTTGCGTGACATAGGCACGCTATCATGGGTGGATATATTCACACCAGTCTTGTTGGTTCTGGAGGCAGGGGGGCTTAGGTGTCTAGATTTGGCCTTGGCCTTTCTAGGACTGTCCCCTGGGGGGGTTCAAAAAGGAACGCGCTAAGCGCGTTGGGGTGGCCGGTGCTTCTGCGGGCACAGGGCGCGCCAGTAAGGCCTGAGATATAGTTTGGGAAAGGGCCGAGGACATGGAGCCCATGGCGGCCATAATGGCGTCTGTAACGGAACGTTGCAGTGCCAGGGCCTGGGCATCATCAGGCACCGACATAGGGTCACCCGCAGAGGAAGGGGGGCCAGAGCTGGCAGAGTTAGGTTTATCCAGCACACGGGGTACATCCATATCCCCAGGCCAAATAGGGGTAGCAGACCCTTTAGATTTAGGCATAATTATTAGTTAGAGTTATCCCAAAGACACAAGTAATAAATTTGTATATATAAAATATAATGAGCTGCTGAATTAATTAGAAAAGACTATACTGAGAGAGGAACTTTCAACTAGCAGGAGTTAATCACCCCAGGCTAGTTATAGCTAATAGGGAGTAAATTAGGGAGCTCACCAGGGTCCAGACCGGCAGATAGGTAGAGGACAAGAGGAATGGGAAGGAGAGTGAGTGATAGAAAATGGCCGCCGGCAATCTCGCGAGATTCGCAGCGGAATTCTAACCGAAAATGGAAAAAGAGCCGAACGTTCGGCGGAAAACAGTGAATACATATGGAGCCATAGAGGGAAACATAGCAGGGGTGAATAAGCCTGGCGTTCGCATAGAAATTCGAACGCGGCAACAGGCGAATTGGTAAGTGAATAAGGCAAGCTAGCGAATAGGGAAATTCATGAGAATAGCCGAACAGTATATAGTATAATAGGAGAAGAAAAACTGCCGAACGGGATGACGAGAATAGGCGCAAAGGGCGCCAAAGTGACAGGCAGACCGGCAGATAGGAGAAAATGTAATGGAGGGACTAAAAAGCTTGAGAGCTTTACACAGGGGTACAAGTGAAAGGTAGAAATAGAACAAAAGCCAGAAAAAAGGGGGTCTGGAACCCTGGGCTCAAATAAAACTTACACAATAAACGTCAAAGCATACAATAATAACTGCAAGCAGTAATTAACCAGTGAATGGTACAAGTTTACCAGCAGAGAAATAGTCAATAGTGCAGATAAAACAGTAGACAAAACCATAAGGCAATGATAAGAAAATAGTCATGTACTTATCTGTTTGGTAGCAGAAAAGAAAGAGGAATTGGATGGGGAGGTGCTGCCTATTATACTGGGACTTGGTATGGGAGTGACCTGTAACTATGGTTACCGTTTTTTTCTTACTGTTGTATTCTTTGCTGCTATTGGTGGACAGTAAAGAAAGGGATATGCAATATGAGCCTCCGTGTCTTGACTTAATTTTTTTTATTTTTTTTACACTTCCCACCAGCAGGGGGACTGTCTGACATTTCAGACAGTCCCCCTGCTGGCAGATCCATAGCCAGCTATAAGGGGCCATGTGATTGCTCTTTGCCGGGGGAGGGCTGCCTGGGCTGTCAGACAGCCCTCCAGAAGAGGATCGCGGCGGAGGTAAGTGCGCCGGACCTCCAGGGGCTGCAAGCCGTTACGGCGTTCTATGCCGCCGCAATGGCTTTAAAGCCCACTTAATGCAGGACGGCATAGAATGCCGTAATGGCGTTAAGGGGTTAAAGAATCACTATAGTGTCAGGAAAACAAACCTATTTTCCTGACACTATGTCATCCTTGGGGGACCCTCACCCTCAGGGTCCCCCTCTCTTGGTGCTGAAGGTTAAAACCCCTTCAGCAGTTTACCTTAATCCAGCGCCGGGCTTTCTTAGCGCTGGTGATCTCTCCTCCCCCGCTGACATCAAGAGCCGCGCGCACTCAAACAGTCCATAGGAAAGCATTTCTCAATGCTTTCCTATGGACATTCTGCACACTGGATGCGAAGTGCGCATCCAGCGTCACAGAAGCGCCTTTAGCGGCTATCAGGAAGTTTACCTGAAACTGTTTTGTTTACACCTTAAGGGTTAAAACCTGAGGGACCTGGCACCCAGACCACTTCATTGAGCTGAAGTGGTCTTGGCGACTATAGTGTCCCTTTAAATGTAGTGAGGGGGCGGAGTTATAATAGTATTATCCTGGCGGGGGCGGAGCTATGCGAGCAGGAGAGGGGGGCCGGAGCGGAGACAGTGTGGGCGCGAGGAGGCAGAGTTAGGACTCGAGCAGGAGCATTCGGTGATGAAATGAGGGGGCGGAGTCTGCGGTCCACGATCTGATGGATCACTGAATCGGACATAACCTTTTCCAGGTTAACACATGCCAGGATTTACAACGCTGAATCAGGCTGTTTGTATCTTCGCGGCTTCCGTAGTTCTGCGAACGTTTAGGGTCTTGAACAAGCTTGTGGGGCTCAGTCGCTGGCAGGCAGCGGAAGGATTAAGGAGGGGGTGCCGGCCCGGGTGGTATTTCCATATTGTCGGCACTGCAGCGCATACACGCAATTTATAGGAGAGCGCGGTATGTACTAATAACGGTCACTGCGCTGAGAGGATGCGGCTCCTTCCCGGGTATTCACGGCCTCCACTTCTAAAGCAGCACCAAACCCGCCCGGGTCACCGAGGGCTCCCCGCCACCTTGTGATAGCAAGCCGGCAGCCAGCTCTGTAACCAGCCTCGGGGTCATGACCTGCCATCCAATCGCCGCTGTCACCACCGAGCCATTGTCGGCCCCATTGTAACCCTCCGCAGAGAGAAATAGGTCAATGGTGAGCGAGACCCCGGGGGGAGGGGAGTGTGAGCAGCACCTGGCCCTGGACTGGACAGCATCATAGTCAGCAGGAAGCGGCTCCCGGGCTGTATGAGGAGACATGGCCAACCAGCCTGTGATCCTCAATGTGTATGACATGGTAAGCGAGGGGGAGGGGGCGGCAGGTACCCCTATTAGTCATTATTAGGCTTTATATGGGGGGAGGGGGGGACTACACATTGAAATCACTAATAGAATTACATTTAGAGCAATGTTTATATATGTTACAAAGGAGCTTATCTAATATGGTGAAATAAACGTGTGTGTGTGTGTGTGTATATATATATATATACACACACACACACACACACACACACGCAGGTAATGTAAAGCTTCTGTTTGGGGGGAGGGGATTATTATTTTTATTTTTTTCCATGAACTGTTTGTTTAGTGCTTCCCAAAACCGGCCCCTGAGAACGCTTAAGGTTTTATCCATGTCTTCTTTAAAACAAAGCTGAATTTAGAACCACTTTAGTACAATTGTACAGTTCAGTGTTCAACAGTATGCTGTTGCTTTATATATAATTTCTGCTGGGTAATATAAAATTTGCTAGCTCTCTAGAGCACCAGTTGATTTAAGGACAGGGGGGATATGCGTAACCTTAATCAAATCGTGATTTGCAGGTTTATTAAACAATCGATTGTCAAGAATTTGCAAGGAAACTGCAAGTTTGAGGCTAACATGCCAAGTTGGAACATTCTGACCAACTTTTTATGGTAGTGGAAAAGAAATGCTGTTCGTTGTGATTTTTAAATTTTTATTTATATAACACCATCAGATTCTGTAGCGCTGTACAAAGGGTGGACTAACAGACATTTAATTGTAACCAGACAACTCGACGTACAGGAACAGAGAGGTGGAGGGCCCTGCTCAATGAGCTTACGTGCTAGAGGGAGTGGGGTTTAGTGACACAAAGGGTAAAAGTAGGGGTATGAAGAAAGTTATTAGAAAAATGTAAGCTGAGGGCTTAGGTAATATTTGACAGTTGCAGGAGAGGAGTCATGGAGGGTGGAGGATAAAGACCTGCTAACAGTTTAATTGATATGCTTTCTTGAAGAAGTGAGTTTTCAATTATTTTTTTTTTGAATGAGTGGAGACTGGGTGAAATTCTTTTGTAGGAGGGAAGGGAGTTCCACAGAAGAGGTGCCGCCCTGGAAAAGTCTTGGAGGCGAGCGTTAGAGATGGGAGTATGGACAGAGGATATACATAGGTCTTTGGCAGAGCATAGGGGCCTCGATGGCACATACTTGTGTATTACGGAGGATAGGTAGGTTGGAGCATTATGTAGGGACTTGTAAGCAAGCACCAGAATTTTAAATTGAGCCCTATATTTAACTGGGAGCCAATGCAGGGACTGACAGAGTGGGGAGATGTGGGAGGTGCGAGCAGACAGGAAAATGAGCCTTGCCGCTGCATTCATTATAGATTGCAACGGTGCAACCTGGAAACACGTAAGACCAGTGAGAAGAGTATTGCAGTAGTCCAGGCGAGACAGAACAAGAGCATGGACCAGCATCTTAGCCGCATCCGGGGTTAGATAGGGGCGGATGCGCGCTATGTTTTTTAGATGGAAGAGACAGGATTTGGCGATTGATTTGATGTGAGGGGTGAAGGAGAGGTTGGAGTCAAAAAGAACACCCAGACAGCGAGCCTGCGAGGTAGAGGTGATGGTAGCGCCGTTGACTTGGAGGGAGACAGACACGGGAGTAGTAAAACTTGAGGAAAGATCAGAAGTTCTGTTTTGGACAGGTTGAGTTTAAGGAAGTGAGCAGCCATCCATTTGGAAATCGAAGAGAGGCAGTCAGAGACATGAGTCAAGATGGGCGGAGAGAGATCAGGAGAGGACAGGTAGATTTGCGAGTCGTTCGCATAGAAATGATAATGGAAGCCAAACGAGCTGATGAGTTTACCAAGGGAGGCAGTGTAGATAGAGAACAGTAGGGGACCAAGGACAGAACCTTGGGGGATGCCAACAGAGAGGGGTTGGGGGGAGGAGGCAGAGTCAGAGAAAGAAACACTGAAAGAGCGCTGGGAGAGGTAGGAGGAGCACCAGGATAGAGCAGTATCCCTTAGACCAAAATTACAGAGAATGCGAAGAAGCTGCTGATGATCAGCAGAGAGATCAAGGAGAATTACGATAGAGTAATGGCCACGAGATTTAGCAGCAATTAAATCGTTGGATAATTTGGTCACAGCGGTTTCGACAGAATGACCAGCGCGGAATCCAGATTGAAGGGGGTCAAGCAGAGAGTTGGTTTCGAGAAAGTCAGTCAGTCTGGTGTACACAACTCTCTCGAGGATCTTGGATGCAAATGGCAGTAGCAAGATTGGGCTGTAGTTGGATGGGGAGTTGGGGTAGAGGCTGGGCTTTTTCAGAATTGGGGTTATGGTTGCATGTTTGAAGGGTGAGTGAAATGTGCCAGAAGAAAAGGAGAGATTGAAAATTTTAGTGAGTGGAAGAGCTAGAGAGGGAGACATAGTGCGGATGAGATAAGAAGGAATAGGATCGAGGGAACAGGTGGTGGGGCGGGAGGACCGGAGCAGAGAAGAAACCTCTTCTGCTGTAGCGCAGGTGTGTAATGAGTGTAGAATGGTGGAGGGAGTGGGTTTGGGTGATGTATTGGTAGGGCAAGGAGAGAAATTAGCGATCTCTTCTATGATTGTAGAGATCTTCTCAGTGAAGTGAGATGCAAAGTTTGTGGCGGACAAGGTGGTAGAAGGAGGGGGAGTAAAAGGGCAAAGAAGAGCATCAAAAGTGTGAAATAGGTGTTTTGGTTGATGGGACAGTGTACTTATGAGGGTGTTAAGGTAATTTACTTTTGCAGCGGCGAGAGCCAGGCTGTAGGAGCGTAGCATAAATTTATAGTGGAGGAAGTTTTGTTCGCCTAAACGACACTGCACGTGCTCACGCTATGCATGAGTATTTCCAGCATCAATGGAGTCCCTCAGGAAAGCATTAAATGATGCTTTCCTATGGGGAAATCCTAATGCGAGCGCGGCCATTCCCGTGCGTGCGCATTAGGTCTCCGGTGGGAGAGGAGGAGCGTGGGCGGGGAGGAACTGAGTCAGCGCAAAGGGATATCGGCGCTGGACCCAGGTAACTGCCAAAAGGGGTTATTAAAGGGATACAAAGCTGTATTCATGGCACTGTATTCCTCTTCTCCCCAACCCGTTAATGTAGAGGGTTTATTTACTTACTTTATCCCGGCGCTGTTGTCCCTCGGCCCTGAGTCGCATGTGCGGCAAATTCTACGCCGCATTAGAACTCCCCATATGAAAACATTGTATCACTGCTTTCCTATGGGGGAAAATATGATGCTGGAGGTCCTCATGCAGAGTGTGAGGACGTCTAGCGTCAAATAATGGACTAATGGACTAAAAGTCTGTTGCGATTCCCGAAGCACCCTCTGTGGCTGGTAGACAGCCACAGAGGGCAGACTGCTGCAAAGTAAACATTGTAGTATCTCTGCAACTGCAATGTTTAACATTTCAGCACTTAGTGCAAAAGGGACACTGCACCCAGACCACTTCAATTAGCCGAAGTGGTCTGGGTGCCTACAGTGTCCCTTTAACCCTTTCGGCACCATGGAGTGTTTACATTTTTTAAATTAAATTTAATAATTATTCTCTAGTAGTAAAAAGGGTAATCAAGACGTGGACTTCATGCTCACTGTGCCTAGAGGGGTATCTGCTACAATTTGCTGACGAGGCCCAAAGAAGGCCAAATGAATGTCCAGAGTTGCTGTCTCTCTTGTGCAGAGAAATGTTTCCGCCATTTCGGTGCTGGACTGCCCTTATGAGTGGGATTAGTCTGATTTGTCTTGGAACTGGTTCTCTCTTTAACCCCTTAAGGACCAAACTTCTGGAATAAAAGGGAATCGTGGCTTGTCAGACATGTCATGTGTCCTTAAGGGGTTAATGGCACAAGTGAGCAAAGACTATTTTGAGCCCTGAGCTGGGATGCTACGGAGTTCCTCTTAGATGTCTGTTTTCAGAGATCATATGAATTTTTTTTTTTTTTTTTTTGTGTGCTTTGCTTTCTTTCTATATACTCCTGTTGCTTGAGAGGACTTCCTCCTGCTTATTCCTTTGTCCCTTTGACATTCCAATTACTTCACCATTCTCTTAATTATTTTTTTTTTTCAATTTTATATTTATATATATATATATGTATAAACTTTTTAACAGACTGCCTTTTTTCAATCCTGAATAAAAAAAATAAATAAAACCCAAGCAAACAAAACCAAAAATTATTCCAAGACAAACGGATATATATTTGCAATTCCCTGGTAATGTGATCAATAAACTGTGCATCACCCAACTGTACACAGTCACTTGTAAGCCATTGAATAAATTGCATGCTGACGCAATAAGGAGGGAGGTCAGTTGTTCCTTGATGTTTGCACAGTTCCCTCAATGAATGCGTGTATTTGAAAAGCTTACTCTTTGTCCTGGGTATGATCTCTACAGAAAATGTTCACAAATGTGCTAAGGGACACTGTACCAACTTGAAAGACATATTGGTTGTTACATTTTCATTCTTTATCATTTTGTTTCCTTTAGCAGGAAATTGGTTTAATTTTGATAATAGATATGACATGTAAGCGGTCCATTCGCCTGTATTTAGTTTGTCCACTGGTTGATTAAAAAGAACCAAATATATCATGTTAAATAATTGTCCATTGTCTGTTTTTATTTTAATTCTGGCTTTGGACAACTGAACAGCTGCCAATAATAGAATTTTTTTATTTATTTATTTATTTATTTATTTTTGTTTGTGTATTTATTTTTTCCCCAAACCTTTCACATGGATAAGCACTATGCTTGGTCCATGTTCGGCTTACCACATACATATCTACTGATATACCAATTCTTATTCCCTGTGGTCAAAATGGTATCACATTATTTATTATTTTTTTTTGTAGGGATAAGTAATTACTGGGAAATTAAGTTGGCAGCTGCTTTGTCTGTCACAGGATTATGGCTGAACAGATTGCATAAAAAATAAAAACCGTACCTCTTCAAGTGCTGCACTCCATTTAAGGTTTAGCCAGCCTTTTGTTTTATTTTATATGTACCTTTTGTGGAGTGGGGTTAATTGGGGTGTTCTTGTGGTGTGTGGGTGTGTGTGTTTGTTTTTTTTTTCACCATCATGTTTCTGAAGTGAAAAAGAGGTATCTACTGTTTATAGCATTTTTGATCGGTTGTTCAGCCTGTCTGTGAGGTTAATTTTGTTTCAATTGTTTTCCTTCTTAATGCGTGTAAGCTTTGCAATGACAATTGTGCTTACAGAAATTCCATGAATGTATTTTTAAATTCACAAATGTATGGATGGCTTTAATTCAGTTTAAAAGGAAGAATCCAACCACCATAATACCTACAGCCAAATAGTGCCTGAAACATAGTCCCAGAGTAATTTATACCTAAACCACTGTTCTGTTAGACCATTCATTTTAACCTGTAAGTTAAAAACCTTGCTGTTCATTGGTCTTGAACATGTCCTAATTTCTACTGTGCAATACAAATTGAATGCTATCACGCTCATCATCTTTATTCTTCTTGTTAAACATCAATTTCAGACAATCCTTTCATTTTAGGCTTGATCGTAAAGTGTCTCTCCTTTACATATTTTGTAAAGAACCCAAATGGTGCTCTAGTATAGTGAAGTGGCCCGGAGGTTGCAGGGCACAGTAGATTTTACTTATTTGAAGTCATCCTTCACAGTGGTTGCCATATTGATCCAGGGCATCCTCTTCACCTCCTGGATATGCAAGACTACAAAACCGATTACTATGAAGGATTCTGCCATTTTCCTTACAGCCATCACTAGTGATGGTTGGGGGAGTTGACAAAACTTAACTGTGATAACCATGGGCGTCCGCAGGAATTTTTCCGGGGTGGGGAGCGGCATAATTGTAATGACATCCATGCTTGGCCCCTTTTTGACAGTGTCATCAAAGGGAAGGAGCATAGTCATTTTCACATAAAGCCAGGGTGAATAGCTTTTTACAACTATGGTGTCAGGAATATATGTTTGTATTCCTGACACTATAGTGTTCCTTTAATGCTATGATGCAAGGAGGCCCCTGGGCGCTCTCTTTCCTTTAAGAGGTGATACCACTCTCAAATGGCTTACCCCCAAAGGCTTCCTCTAGCTCCAGATCTCAAGGTTGCTCAGTGGTATTCAGCTTCTTAAACGGAGTGTCAGGAAGTGCAGATTGACGTCAGGCATGGGTGCCGCTGATTGGCTAGAGTGGTCAGCTGACGCTCTAAGCCAATTGCTAGCTCCCGATTCATAAAAAAAGTCTAAATTTTTATGAATGGGGAGCTACTGATTGGCTTAGAGTGCCAGCTGACCCTCTAGCCAATTAGCAGCACCCCTACCCAGAGGCCCTCAGTAAATTAAAGTGAACACATTAACATGTATTTATTTTTTTTAATTTTTTTTTTTACCTGGGGACATGAGAAGGTCCAAAGTTTCCCTGCCAGGCCCAGGTACCAAAGCCTTATGATGTGGTGTCCAGAATGAAGTGCTCCAATCTCATTTTCTTCTCCTTCATTTGACAGTCTTTTTCTTATGAGGCTCCTTCTGCAGAGGCGGCTCTAGACTTTATGAGGCCTTACGTGAAACTCAAACATTAGGCCCCACTAGCAAAAAAGGGAAAATACATACACACTGTCACATATACACATTGATGCACAGTTTACCTGTGAGTGTGTGTGTGTTTCTGTGAGCATGTTTGCCTTTTTGTCTGGTACCCTGTGTGTATGGGGTAGCTGCTTTTAGAGGCGGGTGAGGGAGGGGGTGAGGTGGGGGTGATGCTGAGGGAGTGATGGTGAGGGGAGTAATGCTGAGGGTCAGGGGGGTGATATTGAGGGGGTGATGCTGAGGAACGTGATTATGATGAGGGGGTAATGCTGAGGGTGGTGGGGGTGATGCTGAGGGTGGTGAGGGGGTAATAGTGCCCCCCATCCCTCACTTACCTGCTCTGTAGGCTGCCTCTGTGCTGCTCCCCTGCGGTTTCAGTCATGAGCGAGAGGTAGGGATAAGCTGCAGCTTCCTGCCTTTTAACATCCTCAGCGCCACCTACTGACCGGCGCCTGTATTGCAGTGTGTTCTCACACAAACCTGAAGAATCTGGGGGGGGGGGTGGGCAAGTGCCCCCTCTTGCCCCCCCCCCTGCCGACGCCCATGGTGATAACTCTACCTATTGTCAAGTGATGGGTAAACACAAAGGAGTCCCTGCTTTATCATAATATATCTTTTTGGATTTTAGTGAAATTCCAACAGTCTGTGAATATTTCATGAAGAATTTGTTTATAAAAGTATCAACTTTGCAGGTGGGTGATGTCTTACTGCTCAATTCGTGCCTCTGCAGTCTTACTGCTCAGTTTTTGTCATTTAGGGCTTAAATTTTGTTTATGCAGCTCTAGCTACGCATCACCTGCATGTCACCAACAGTCTCCCTACACATTTCCTGCTAAATGGTAATTAAATTTAATTGGCCTTTGTGGCAAACCTAGCCACTTCTGTCTGTAAAAGACTGAGTTGGTTCGACTCTTTCTACGAGCGATATTTCTGTATTCTGTTCGTGAGTCGAACCAACTACCGACAGAGGAGACCACCCAGTGGAGTCGTGTGTCTCCAATTAAGGATTGCAACACTTGAAAACCGCAAAGTTCCAAATGATCATATGGGTGGCCGCCGTTCGTATAAACAAACATGTGGCGATGGCCATCTTTGCGCACAAACGCCCAGCTGTGTTTTGTCGTTGAGTGCATGGAACTAAAATCAACACCACTGGACTTCCATCCTGTTCCTACGTGCGTTTCCTTTCGTCAAAATAGAGCAGCATTCGACTAAATGAAACTGTCACGTATTCATCCGCTTATAGAAATGTGGTTAATGACATTTACTGTCCACACAGGAAAAGTTGTGCCGAGCAGCAATCCACAGAAGGGTTAATGCTGAGCAGCAATTATGCAAATGAAACCTGGTAACTGCCTTTGGGGTCAAAGGCCAGTTACAGCCTATCAGAAAGAAAGGAGGGGTATTTAGGCCCAGTTGTCAGCCTGCTCAGTGCCCTGTCGTGGTTTCCCTTGTGGTTGTCCGAGAGCGCGTTCCTGTTTATAGTTTTCTACCTGGTTTTTGACTTTGGCTTTGTTTATTGACTTCTCTATATTCTGGTATCCTGACTCCTGGCTTTCCTCATCGCTGTGTCCCTTTCTGTGTTCCCTGACCTCGGCTAGTATTTTTGACTATTCTTTGTATGTTAAATCCGGCCATTCTAAGGACCAGTAATACGTTACTTATTTGTCATCTGTGCTGTACAGTTCTACGTGCTGGATCAAACAGTAATCCTGACACTAACAGACACATAACTACCCAGTTTCTGAACGTTTACATTCGTTAGTTTGTTAGTGAGAACTCTCGAAAGAAAGACCGGTCAAAATAGTCAATCGCATGGAACTTTTTGGGGGCAGCACCTCGTGGCTGACCGGTCCAAAACTTCACTTGAATGGCTTTCCTGTTCTACCGAATGGATCTGAGCGGTATTTCGACAGATTGGGCGCTCAGATCACTGCTATTCAGAGAAGTGGTGTTCTGTTTAATATTATGGGAGTTATGATGTTTTGAAATATTGTTTAATGTTCTGTACTTAATAGATAATCTAATTTAAAGAATTGTTCTTACACAATTATCTTCCAAGTACAGAAAAGAATCATGTGGAAATATGGCTTTGTTCCCAGTCCTCCAAGGTCCACCAGGAGGAAACCCCTGGAATGTCATTAAAGAAACCTCTTTGCATGGGGAATCGCATAAAAGCCAGCTGTGGCTCAATAAAAATCAGTTGACTCCCAAAGCTGTTTTGTCCAGTTGGGGAATGGGATTGGAATTACTACACTACACTACACTTCATTTGCATGCTGATCAAGTCTACTAGCGGAGATATTGCAGTTCACACTCTCACTCTGCTACAGCCTTTCTTATCTCCTGCTCTGTTAATAACCTGCTAGAACCGACAGGACCTTCTTTGTGTGAATTAATTTTCAATTAACAGAGAAGGGGGTAAAGAATTCTAAAGTGAACACACTGTTCATAGAAAATGGGGGGAAAAAAACTTTCATGTTGAATGTGACAGTCAGAGCAAGGGGGGTGTGGCTAGGGCTTCATAAACAAGTGATTTAATGGGAAACTATAGTCACCAGAAACACTGCAGCTTAATGTAGTGGTTCTGGTTTCTATAGCCAGCCCCTACAGGCTTTTCAATGTGAAGACTGCCTTTTCAGATAAAAAGCAGTGTTGGCATTGCTGTCTCTAGTAGCAGTCATGTAGTATACCACCTGAGGTGCTTTTTAGTCCAATACTGCACACTGTGCAGTACCTACATTCAGCATCTCCATGCTCTGCATGGAGGTTCTAAATGTTTCCCATTGAGATGCATTGCCTAAGGGAAAGATCTTCAAGTATGACTTCAGCCATGTAGGGGGGAGGGGGTTGGGACAAGCTCTCAAGATTTGTGTTGTCCACGCTCCCCTTAACGTGGTTCTTGCTTCTCCAGTGTGTTCCTCTCAGATGAGTCAAGTTCTTATCTCCTACATTCCCCAATAAGTCACGCTGGCACAATGGGCCAATGTGAAATCAGGAAAATAAATATCTGTCCTTTTACAGGGATAGACCCCACTTTCGGAGCACATTCTGTCAGGGATTCGGCTGAATCCTCCGCCTTGTTCTCAGGATCATTCCTTTTGGATATCTTTCACTCAGCAAATTGGTCTTGAGAGGACACCATCTGAATTTTTGTCTCCTCTTAGAGTGTTAAAACTGCAAATGTGAGCCTCCTGTAATGTCATAAAATTGAAGACTATTCTAGCTTTTAGTGACACATTTATCATCAGTTTAATATATTTTTTTTTTTTTTTTTAGATCCCCTCCTGTTCTTTACATGTCTAGTATGATGATCCTGACTGTATATGTTTTCATTAATGATTTACTCAAATTCCTGTATTTGCTGTTATGATACAATTATAGTGTGTGTGTGTACACACCTGCAACTGTATTGCTCTAGTTAAAGCGGCACTGTTTTTAAAAAATTTTTTATTTATTTATTTATTTATTTTTTTAAAATACCTGTCTCCACTCCATCTAACTGACCCCCCTAGTCACCCCCTAGAGTTTGTATTTTTTTTTATTTTAATAAACATGCCCCTACTCACGGTAAAGAAAAGTAGAGCCGACAGGAAGAAATGAAGAACAGATCCTGAGAGAGGGAGAGAAGAGGAATCGATTTAAAGAAAGGTAAGTTCGGCATGACAGTGTCGCTTTAAGTGAAGTTTGCGTTTTTGTTTGTTTGTTTTTTTTTTTTTTTTAGTATATTATATTTGGAGTTGGTATTAATCTACTAGGTACACATTTAGCTTAAAGGAGCTATTCTGGTATACCTAGAGCAACACACACGAAAGAGGGAGACAGACTAGCACTAGACCGCTCAAACTAGAAGATAGGGATTCACCAAAAACTTATAGAGAAAACATATAAAATCACCTTAAAAATAAAGTGAATGGACTCCCGGAGCTGGCTAGTGACTGATGGCCGAATGTGTGATAAAACCTAATAGGTATTAAAACAGTGAAAAGTGGAAAATACAAAAAAGAGAGAGAGGGGGAAGAGTGAATAAGATATGGGGCAATCAAGAATAGAAATCCAATAAATGAAGTGAAAGAAAATATGAACTGTACCTTTATAGTGTAGTGATAGATAATACAAAGTATGTGATAGAAAGAAAAATGAAAAATAAAGTTGTACTATAGGTGAATGATAAAGAGACCTGGACAACTACAAAATAGATGTAGATAAAAAGTGACCACAAAGGTGAAAACAGAAATACAGATAAACCGCAAAAACAAATTCTTTGAAGGCAAATGTGCAACTCAGGTACCTCAATCCCCAACAAAAATGAGGGGTAGATCGTATCTGTTTCAGATTAATATACTTTGTATTGACAAAGACCACAAAAATGAAAAGTAGCAAAATCAAATTGTCAAGCGTTACAGTATATAGAACTGTAAGCTTAAATACTTAGTATAATAATGAGCTGAAGCAACGAAAACTGAATGAGTTAGCAAAAACAGTCCAGTTTATTCAACATAAAAATATATATATATATATATATATATATATATATATATATATATATATATATATATATATATATATATATATATATATATATATATATATATAAAAATCACTAAATATATGTAAAAGAATGTTCATGGATGCATTACCAGGCTTAAAATCACCAAGGACCTTCGGATTACAGGAGGATGGATCTGGATATTCTTTGGAAGTTTTGTTGATATTATTCAGGCTACCAGTGAGGACGGCGTGTTGCTGAGCGCACGCTCCGAACAAGAGCCTCACTCTCGGTATCGTGCCGAACAGACGGTGCCGGTCGCTAGTGTTCCCAAAGGTCCTGCTTGAAAGGTGGAACTGCCGCTGGTAGATGCAATCAGAATCTTCCTTTGGAGAATTGCCTAACGCGTTTCGTAGGGGATGTGCCTACTTCATCAGAGGCATGCTAACATCCATTGCTTCAGACATGTCTTAAATACCCACAGGGTCAATTATCAAACAATAATAAAATATATAATACAGTAATCATACATTGTGAAGTGGTATACAAAAAATAAAACATAAAGGATAAACATGGTACAATAAATCAAAGTATAATTTGATACAATTACTTAAAACATTTGTTTGTAGTTTGTGTGAAATCATAATCTAATGATGTGGATTTGAATTAGCCATACACATGTCGAAAAAGGAAGAATGTATCAGAGAAGGTGTTGAAGGACAATAAAGTGTGTGTGTGTGTGTGTGTGTGTGTATATATATATATATATATATATATATATATATATATATATATATATATATATATATATATATATATATATATATATATATATATATCTATATCTCATAGCATTTGAATAGAGACATAATTATATTAAATCTACATATATATATGAAGTAATATAGTACATGATTATATGTAAATATCAGTAGTGAAAATATGAAGTATAAAATACTGGTGCTAAATTAGTAGATATGAAACTGGTAATATGACCTTATTATAGGTGTATATGTTAAGAGGGGATGGCTAGAGTGGATAATAAGCGATAATGGCACCTGGTGTTCCTTGGTGGTATAACTTAAAATGTTAATATATATGAAAATATACATAAATATACGAAGAATGTATAAAATGTACTCCATGTATACAATATACTGCATAAATAGGACATGGTATATACAAATACATATAACTATGTATATAAAAGCATAAATATAAAGGTAATATATGTTGGACTTTCCCATTCCGTTCGGTAATAAAACAGAGTAATTAGTGACATGGTTAAATAAAACTTACCTTTCACCTTTGTGGTCACTTTTTATCTCTATTTTTATCTACATCGATTTTGTAGTTGTCCAGGTCTCTTTATCCTTCACCTATAATACAACTTTATTTTTCATTTTTTCTTTCTATCACATACTTTGTATTATCTATCACTTCACTTTAAAGGTACAGTACATATTTTTTCTTTCACTTCATTTATTGGATTTCTATACTTGATTGTCCCATATCTTACTGTTTTAACACATTTAGCGTACCTGCTGGTGTGTAGTGTGTTGCGTATTTTTTTTTTATTTTTTTTTTGTTCTTTGGACTATATCTCCGTTTCCACTTGCCCACGACAAAGAAAGAGGAAGTGATCTTTCTGACACTTTTATTGACCTCTCTTTGTTTTGATTGGTTGTTTTGTTACTGTTAATTTTTGCTGCTAAATGGAGGTGCAGTAAAGAAAGAATGCAACTATAAGCCTCATGTCGTCATTAAAACTAAGCTTATGTTGTCACTAAAAGCTAGAATAATCTACAATTTGGCTTAATTTAAAAATCACTAAAACAATAGCACATGTACAAAACGTTTTAAAAAGGACAAACAAAAGTGATTAGGCTAGAAACAATTAACACATGTAAGCATATACACAGCCTACCAGAGCGAGACACAAGGCACAAAAACAAAAAAACAAAAGCATGCTTGGGTGCATTTCTCAAGAGAAGGGAAAAAGGAATGCAGACAGGAGCATCTTTCTTGTTATAATATTCAAAAATTGTTCAACACCATAACCCCTTTAAAGGGACGATATAGTCACCAGAACAACTACAGCTTGATGTAGTTGTTCTGGTGTACAGGGAGTGCAGAATTATTAGGCAAATGAGTATTTTGACCACATCATCCTCTTTATGCATGTTGTCTTACTCCAAGCTGTATAGGCTCGAAAGCCTACTACCAATTAAGCATATTAGGTGATGTGCATCTCTGTAATGAGAAGGGGTGTGGTCTAATGACATCAACACCCTATATCAGGTGTGCATAATTATTAGGCAACTTCCTTTCCTTTGGCAAAATGGGTCAAAGAAGGACTTGACAGGCTCAGAAAAGTCAAAAATAGTGAGATATCTTGCAGAGGGATGCAGCACTCTTAAAATTGCAAAGCTTCTGAAGCGTGATCATCGAACAATCAAGCGTTTCATTCAAAATAGTCAACAGGGTCGCAAGAAGCGTGTGGAAAAACCAAGGCCCAAAATAACTGCCCATGAACTGAGAAAAGTCAAGCGTGCAGCTGCCACGATGCCACTTGCCACCAGTTTGGCCATATTTCAGAGCTGCAACATCACTGGAGTGCCCAAAAGCACAAGGTGTGCAATACTCAGAGACATGGCCAAGGTAAGAAAGGCTGAAAGACGACCACCACTGAACAAGACACACAAGCTGAAACGTGAAGACTGGGCCAAGAAATCTCAAGACTGATTTTTCTAAGGTTTTATGGACTGATGAAATGAGAGTGAGTCTTGATGGGCCCGTGGCTGGATTGGTAAAGGGCAGAGAGCTCCAGTCCGACTCAGACGCCAGCAAGGTGGAGGTGGAGTACTGGTTTGGGCTGGTATCATCAAAGATGAGCTTGTGGGGCCTTTTCGGGTTGAGGATGGAGTCAAGCTCAACTCCCAGTCCTACTGCCAGTTCCTGGAAGACACCTTCTTCAAGCAGTGGTACAGGAAGAAGTCTGCATCCTTCAAGAAAAACATGATTTTCATGCAGGACAATGCTCCATCACACGCGTCCAAGTACTCCACAGCGTGGCTGGCAAGAAAGGGTATAAAAGAAGAAAATCTAATGACATGGCCTCCTTGTTCACCTGATCTGAACCCCATTGAGAACCTGTGGTCCATCATCAAATGTGAGATTTACAAGGAGGGAAAACAGTACACCTCTCTGAACAGTGTCTGGGAGGCTGTGGTTGCTGCTGCACGCAATGTTGATGGTGAACAGATCAAAACACTGACAGAATCCATGGATGGCAGGCTTTTGAGTGTCCTTGCAAAGAAAGGTGGCTATATTGGTCACTGATTTGTTTTTGTTTTGTTTTTGAATGTCAGAAATGTATATTTGTGAATGTTGAGATGTTATATTGGTTTCACTGGTAATAATAAATAATTGAAATGGGTATATATTTGTTTTTTGTTAAGTTGCCTAATAATTATGCACAGTAATAGTCACCTGCACACACAGATATCCCCCTAACATAGCTAAAACTAAAAACAAACTAAAAACTACTTCCAAAAATATTCAGCTTTGATATTAATGAGTTTTTTTGGGTTCATTGAGAACATGGTTGTTGTTCAATAATAAAATTAATCCTCAAAAATACAACTTGCCTAATAATTCTGCACTCCCTGTATATAGCCTGACCCTGACTGCTTTTTATTTCTATATAAATGTAGACACTGCCTTTTCGTTGAATACTCGCCTCTTTTGTCTCAAGTGTCATGCTTGGCCTTATCGCCATCATTTTTGACAATTTCCACCAATCCAATGCTTTCCCATAGGAAAGCATTGGGAGGCTATTGCACATGCACAGTAAAATGCTGCGCCAGTCAGCATCTACTCATAGAAATGTATTGAATCAGTGCATCTCTATAGGGAGCTCGGCAGCACTAATGCAGGAAGCACCTTTAATGGCAGACTTGGTGACTGCCACTAAAGGTGTTACTTGGCAGCAATGTCAACACTTTTTCTATTAAGTATAAGTTTTTCTATAAGTTTATGTATATTATCTTCCTGGAGAGCAGAAGGGCTGCTTGTGGGAGGTCTTTTCTGTTTTCTGTTGGTAGTCAATTCAGAAGAATTGATTGCCAGATGGAAGAAAAAAAAATTCCCAAGCTATACATTTGTGAGAAAATCTGTTAGCACAATGTATATAGAATTTAATACTCGAGAGTGTTAGTTGTACCTAGCATGACAGGTACTCTTAAATTTAGGTATTTAAAAGGAGAATGGTTACTTCTCAGGATTTTAGTGTGTTTTGGATTTCTACATTTAAATTAAAAATTTTCACAACTGCTTATCCTACAAATTGGTGCCTCCATCTTTATCAAGCATTGTTAGAAGCACTTTCCTGGGCACCTCGTCAAAAATAGAGAGAATACAGATACTTGCAATTCATTAAATTGTATTTTGGTTTTGTGCAATGGAACAGGTTTATCATTCTTTATACCACTTAAAAAATAAATAATTTTAAATTTGACAATTTTTATTGCATGTATATTGAGTAATACCAGTCATACAATGGACATTACAAGCGTTTAAATGGTCTCATGTAAACAGAAATATTTTATACATGCACTAGGTACTACATACTCGGTGTGCAACAATTGTACATGAGTTGAGTACCTGAATGTCCTATTTAATCACTGTTCAACCTGGTGACATGCATTTTATTTGATAAGGTGAATAAAAAAAACCCATAAAACATGTCTGCCAGACGACCACTAAAGTGCTTCACTTATGTTCAGTGTCTCCAAGCTCTGTATGGAGGCGCTGAATTTTCCTATAGAGATGTTTGACTGGCATGGTGTTTTGCCACACATGCACAATAGCTTCCCAATACTTTCCTATGAGAAAGCATTGGGTTGGCTGAGGTCATAAAGCTTGATTATCTCAGCCAGAGAGGTAGGGTCATATCCGCAGGAAGACCGGCACGGCGTCTGGGGGAAAAAAGGTGAGCAAGAATACCATTCTAATGCAATTGGAGGGGGTGCTAGTCACCTAAACACATAGGCGCGCGCGCACACACATTTTGTTATGATTCAATTTAAGTTGACCCTGCCTTTGGGAGTGATGGAGTGGATCGGCTTTTCCTGGGGTCAAGTGGGTGGCCGGCAGGGGGGGGGGGGGGGGAGGAGAGGGGGCTATGATCTTCCTGCTCTGCTCCCTTGCGTGTTGCTACGACCGGTGTGATGTCCTATTCTGGCCCCAGCATCACGAAGCGTAGCGTGAAAGAACAGAGCAGGAAGATCACAGCTCCCTCGCTGCCTGCATACAATCCGTGAAGCCGGCCGCCTGCTTCTGAGGTAACTGGATCACAAATCCCAGGAGCCAGGACAAAATTACTGAATCCTGATCATCATAGGTCGGTGGAGGAAGAAGCCCTCCTGGTATCCAGAGGTGTCTACTGTGGACTACTATTCCTGGGGACAAAGCACATTTGCACATCTTGATTTGTTCAGTTGTGTCACTATTTTTGTGAGCGTTCATTTTTCTAGTTTTTAACCATTTGTGTTTTTATTAAAGTTTTCTTTTTCATATAAATGTTATGCTTTTCTTAACATTATGGTAACTATATCCTCATCCTTTGACAGTGGCACCCTGTACTGTATTTTCACTCTGGTTTTATACAGTTGTTCTGCACTTGGATTTTGGAGGGATTAAGGGAGTGACCCCGTTTTCAGTGGCCTGCCTGCACAATTTTGCACCTTTTTTAATCTCTCACCTGTTATTTGACAAAATTCCAAGTCTCTTTGGCGACCTGGCCCCGGGATATTTTGAGCCCTACACCATACTACAGATAACTTCAGTTTGTCAGATACAACAGAACTTGCCACATCTTCTATCACTGGTCTCCACTTCCCTCACAACATGAAGCTCAGCGTATCTATATGGCCAGGACTCGTAATGTTTAAAATGTTACATTCCTCCCTCATATGAATTTTTAGATCATTGCATAAATAACCATTTTGGCAATTTTACTATTTCCTACCTAGTTCACATATATAACTATCCTCCCCCCTCAATTGCTCTCACCCTGTTTCCAACTTTTATTAGACATATATTGTAGTTGTCATAAATTCTGCTTGGATATGGAATGCACACCTGGCTGTCTGTTGACCATTCTAGTTACATAGCACGTACTTTTTCTGTGTAATTGTTCTCCTTTATGTTGGTCCCCGAAGGTTCTTTAGAGAGGAGCAATCTCTTTCCAAGGTTTTTAATATTGTTTCCCATCAACTATATTCTTTGTGAAGTCTGAAAATTTAAACTTAAATTTAGAAATCCACAGTACTGTATTTGCATCTATTCTAGAACTTAGTGACTCAAAGCATTATATGAAAAAGATTAACATACATTATTGGTGATTTTAAGAGGTTTTATAAAATGGTGATATTGCCTGAGGGGAAAAAATTTAACTCCCTTATTTGTGTCTCTCTCTCTGTCTCTCTCTCTCTGTCTCTCTCTCTCTCTGTCTCTCTCTCTCTGTCTCTCTGTCTCTGTCTCTCTCTCTGTCTCTCTCTCTCTGTCTCTGTCTCTTTCTTTCCTTTCCCCTTTCCTTCCTTTCCCCTTTTCCTTTCCTTCCTTCCTTCCCCTCCCTCCCCCCCCCCCACACACTTTCTCCCCCATTGGAGCTGGCCAGCTGAGGCAATCTTCCTGCAGTTCCCCTCTGCTCCCTTGCTCGCTGTTTAGTGATGCCAAAATATGTGATCACTCTGGCTCAGATCACTGCAGAGAAGCAAGAAGGGAAAGGATCCACTCCAGCTCTCCCACAGTTAGGGAGACTGGGTGAAATCATTTTAAAATAATGTCAATTTGCGAGTGTGTGTCTGTCTGTCTATTTTTAAATACCTGCCCCCTCCAATTGCATGTAGGTGGGGGTTTTTTTATTCACTTTTTTTGTGTTTTCTCACAGCATGCCGGTTTCGCTACAGCTGGGCTACAGCCAATGCTTTCCCATAGTCTGCATCCCCTCACAGAGATGCATGGGGAACATTTATCCATGTAGAGCAGGCTGCCCCAAACGCCGGCCCTCCAGATGTTGTTGAAATACTACTCCCATGATTCTATGAATGAAATAGGCTGAGAATCATGGGAGTTGTAGTTCAGCAACATCTGGTGGGCCGGAGTTTGGGGAAGTCTGATGTAGAGCCTAGAGTCTCTGGTGTGGTTTTGCACTCTGTGCAGCACTGACCAAGGGCCCTCTATTGGCTGTCTTAGTCTGTCACTAGACGTGTTACTAGGTAGCAATGTAAACACTGCCTTTTCCCTGAAAAGGCAGTGTTTTCATTGAAAAGCCTGTAGGGACAGATTAGACACCTGAACTATGTTAACCTCTTAAGGACACCGCTTCAGAAGCTTGTCTTACGCTTAATGACACAAGAAGTTTTTGCATTTTCTTTCTGTATGCGTTCAACTGCAATTTGCATCTCTCTCGTTTATTGCGCCAACACATATTATATACAGTTTTTTTAACCCCTTAAGGACACAACTTATGGAATAAAAGGCAATCATGACGGAATATTTCCGTCATGTATCCTTAAGGGGTTAAAGGACAGAAAGGGCTTTAAGTTGATGTTTTATTTATATATAATATATATTTAAAAAAGGTGGAAAAAAAAAAATTTTTGTACAGTTTTTGCAATAATGTGTGCCTAATTAGTGCAGGTTAAAGAAAGTAATTAAAAATTAATTTAGTTGTTCTGATTTACAGAATATATAATGTGTCTGGGATTTTAATAATTTTTTTTATTTTTTTATTTTTTTTTGTTAGTTACAGGTTACAAAGCACAAGGAGTAAAATAAACTTTTAATGTGGAGCAATTTTAGAATTTGGTATGTTTGTCTTGTAAGCTTAATAGCCATAAAAGAAAACAAAATTGCCACACAAAAGTATATATTTATATAAAGTAGACATCACAGGCTATTTACTTAAGGTTGTTTTGACACTTTCTATGTAGCCATTTCACCACCAATCTCTGCTAAATATTGGAGTAAAATTTAGTTTTTGGGGGTTTTTGACACACAAACTTATATCAAAGAACTTCTCATGTGTATTTTGTAAAGTTGGTGTGCGCTATTCCTGTACAAAGTTTTATTTTGTGTTCAGTTACTTCTGCTCGGTACAACAATACCCCCATTGTATGTCTTTGGCACTATTTCGTGAAGCTACAGTGCCATATAGGTGACCTGTCCGTTTCAACATTTACAGTAGCATTTTGAGGCGGATTTAATGGGCCTATGCTTCAATTTGGGGTATTATAGCAGTTTGACTGTTCAAAAGAAAAACCCACAAAGGCCTACCATTTGTAAAGGTAGACACTCCAGGGTATCTTATAAGGTGCATATTGTGCCTTAACATGCCCCCATTTTTCAACCAATATATGCCAAAGTATGTGGTAAAAAATAATTTTGGGCATTTTTTACATACAGATTACATTTTTGCTGGGCATTTTGTACATTTCATATGTGCCGCTAAGTCTTCGGAGTAACACAATATGCCCAATGTATGACCTAGACACTATTTTTTGAAGTTACACTGCTGTAAAAGAGATGTGACACGTTAAAGGACCACTCTAGGCACCCAGACCACTTCAGCTTAATGAAGTGGTCTGGGTGCCAGGTCCAGCTAGGGCTAACCCATTTTTTTATAAACCTAGCAGTTTCAGAGAAACTGCTGTTTATAAATGGGTTAATCCTTCCTCCAATTCCTCTAGCGGCTGTCTCATTGACAGACGCTAGAGGCGCTTGCGTGATTCTCAATGTGAAAATCACAGTGAGAAGACGCAAGCGTCCATAGGAAAGCATTGCAAATGCTTTCCTATGAGACCGGCTGAATGCGCGCGCACATTCAGCCGAATGGGAGGATCGGAGGAGGAGAGCTCCCCGCCCAGCGCTGGAGAAAGGCAAGTTTTAACCCCTTTCCAGAGCCGGGCGGGAGGGAGTCCCTGAGGGTGGGGGCACCCTCAGGGCACTATAGTGGTCCTTTAAGGTTTTTAAGTGTGAATTTTCATGGAGGGTTTTGATGCGTCTGTGTCCCACTTTGGAGCACTTGAGCAGGCTACATATTAAAACTACACCATAAAGGCATACCATTTATTAAAGAACACATCCCAGGGTATTTCAAAAGGCATATTTTGAACCTTAGCGTGGGATCATTTTTCCGCTAGCTTGTACCAAGTGTAGTGGTAATAAACGTTTTTTTGCCTTTTTGACATACAGTGAGTTTGCACAGTATATTTTGCAAATTGTATGTGTTCTACGACTGTATAATACTTCATATGTGGCTCAGCTATGTCGGCTGAGTACAGCAATACCCCCGTATGTACTTTTGCCAGGTATATGTGGACATCGGAGGGGCACATTTGGGACACAGCCATTCCAGTTCTTTTCAAACTTTAACTTTTTACAATGTGCCCATGTCGCATTTTAGAGTATTTTACCAGATTATATAATCCAAATAACCCATAAAGCCATACCAATTCTTAGAGAAGACATCCCAGGGTATTTTAAAAGGCCTATTTTGAACCTTAGCGTGGGATCATTTTTCCGCTAGCTTGTACAAGTGTAGTGGTAATAAGCATTTTTTCTGCCTTTTTGACACACAAAGTGAGTTTGCGCATTATATTTTGCAAACCTTATGTGAACTACGACTGTATACTACTTCATATGTTGCTCAGCTATGTCGGCTGAGTACAGCAATACCCCCATATGTACCTTTGCCAGGTATATGTGGACATTGAAGGGGCACATTTGAGACACAGCCATTCCAGTTTTTCTCAAATTTTGAATTTTTACGTTGTGTCCATGCCCCATTTTAGAGTATTTTACAAGGCTATATAATCCAATTACACCATAAAGGCATACCATTTCTTAAAGAAGACATCCCAGGGTAATTCAAAAGGCATATTTTGAACCTTAGCGTGGGATCATTTTTCCGCTAGCTTGTACCAAGTGTAGTGGTAATGAGCATTTTTTTATTTTATTTTTTACTTTGTAAAACCAGTTTTAAAACTTTTTTTATTTTTTTACTTATTAAATGTTTTACACTTTTAAATTTTTTTTCTAAACTTTTTTCTTTTACCACTAACCCCTAACTAGCAGTAAGCAGCACTAACAGTAAATTCCCCCCTTCCCCACAACTCCCACCCACTCCAGCTAGCAAATATATATAGAATTATAAAATATTTAATTAAATAAATTGAACCCCTGAGGGTTAAAAAATAAATAAAAGCTAATCCTCAGGGGTTAAAAGAAATGAGATCACAGTATAATACTGTGATCTGTATTTTGATCACTGTAGGTAGTGATCAGCTGGCAGGGAAGGGGTTAATTTTTATTTAGACTGGGTAAAGGGGGAGGTTTTTCTTGTTTTTGTTTTTACTTAAACGTTACTAAAACATTTTTTAAAAAAACTTTTTACCTTTTTAAAGCTTATTTTAAAACTTTTTTAACGTTAACCCCTAGTTAGCCTAACACCAAATTCCCCAATATCCCACTAACGTCCACCCATCCCAGCTAGCTAAATATATAATTTTTAAATATTTAAATTAATAAAATTTAACCCCTGGGGGTTAAAAAAAAAAAAAAAAATCAGATGATTAAAATGTATACCCTGCCAATTGATCACTGTAGTCAGTGATCAATTGTCAGGGAAGGGGTTAATTTTAGTAAAGCAGGGGAAAGGGGGGGGTGGGATTTTAATTTTTTTTTTTTTACACAAGGAGAAGAGGATCAGCTCTGATCCGTCTTCCTGCACTTCACACAGAACCTGGAAGTGCAGGGAGGCGGAAGGTAAGTACACTGAGCACATGTCAGAGAGAGCACCGGTGCTGGGGCAGCCTGATCGGGTGCTCCCGGTCTGCCGCAATCGCGGCGATATGGGGTTAACTTTAGTAAATGATGGAAATTTTCCGTCAACGGTCCTTAACTGAAGGACCCTATAAGAATTGCGTTTTTAACTTTGAAAGTGAAAAAAAAAAAATTTGTAGACATTTTAGCTGTAAATGTCATAATACCATTAGCTTTAACTGCAAAAAAAAAAACCCACATATTTGGATTCAGCAAATTCTCACATTCTCCCATTAACAGTTTTTACGTTTTTTTGGGAAGTTAAAGGGTCAAATATAGCACATTCCATTTTTCAGTTTTTTCAAATTAAAATTAGCCAGGTTGGTTATGTTGCCTTTTGAGATCGTGTGGTAGCCCAGGAATGAGATTTACCCCCATGATGGCATACCCTTTGCAAAAGTAGACAACCCAAGGTATTGCAAGTGGGGTATGTTTAGTCTTTTTTAGTAGCCACTTAGTCACAAACACTGGCCAAAGTTAGCGTTCATATTTGTTTTTGTGTTAAAAAAGCAAAAAACAAATATTTGGCTAGTGTGTGTGTGTGTGTGTGTGTGTGTGTGTGTGTATATATATGTATATGTGTATGTGTGTGTGTTTATTTAAATTCTACGTGTATACTTATGTAATATATATATATATATTAAAATACACTTAGAATGATATATATATATATATATATCATTCTAAGTGTATTTTATTACATATATATATATATTAATAACAAAATACAGTTAGAATGAGATTAAATATGTATATATAATTTAAACTTTTAAAAAAACATTTTATTTATTTTATTGATTTACTATTGTAAATATGTGTATATTATGTCATTCTATGTCAATTATGTGTATATTATGTCATTTTAAGATAATTACATGTACTTATATTAACATTAAAATACATTACGTATTATGTGATATATATTATTATTTTAAAACCTGTTAAATAATTTTATTTTAAACTTCCCACCAGCAGGGGGACTGTCTGACATTTCAGACAGTCCCCCTGCTGGCAGATCCACAGCCAGCTATAGGGGGCCATGTGATCTCTCTTTGAGAGCAATCACATGGCATCCGGGGGCCTCATTTGCCGGGGGAGGGCTGCCTGGGCTGTCAGGCAGTCCTCCCGAAGAGGATCGCGGCAGAAGTGAGTACCGAGGACCTCCAGGGGCTGCAAGCCGTTACGGCGTTCTATGCCGCCGCAACAGCTTTAACGCCCATTTAATGCGGGACGGCATAGAACGCCGTAACGGCGTTAAGGACATTAATAAAACACATTTTTCTTGAAGTGCTTTATGGAATTAGTTTCCCTTTAAATGTTTTTTCTCTTTACAGCAGAATATATTGCTGATTTAGTAATTAATAGATGGGTTCCTGTGTAGGTAGGTGGGGGGGGGGGGTGTGTGTGTGTCTTGTGCCTTGTTTAATGCTTTGAATGACTGCAGCACAGCCTGCGTTACATAGTTTTTTGGGGGGGGTTTAGCGCGTGCCTTGTTTAACTGGCTTTGCTGTAGGTTGATGCTGACCTGGCTCTGTAGAGAATTGGTAGACATGTAATCACTGTCTGCCTAATCGATGAACTGAGTGCCCAATGCTAATGACCTCATTCTTCCATTTACTCCCTATGATCTAGCTAAGATGAATCTTTCTCCCAGCTGCTTAGCCTTCAAAACACAATTCAGTGCTCTTTGTTTGAAATAGGACTATTTTAATTGCAAGCATGGGTGTATGCTAGGTATAAAATGAAATCTGACTTCCCCTTCTATTTCAAGTCTTATAGCCGTAACATTATTGACCAAAATTACTGTTTAAAATAAAAAAAAAGTGGGGGGGGGAGGGGTAAAACCCATTTTGAAGATGTTTTTGTCTTTTTGCCGGTGTGCAGAGTAAATCGATTTTGTGTTTCTAATAATAGATAATCACGGTGACTCCTGGATTCCATTTGAGTCACAGCTTCACATTCCTGGGACTCGAACATATTTAGGAAAGTCATTGCAGCGATGCTCACTACCTCTGTAAAGCTGTGATATTATACACCACTTTAATGGCTGCTATTATTGCTTATGGGATGCAAGAGATATGTTTTTAATTATTTTCTTACTGGCTTGTAGAGCTGTAATATCTTAATTCTATTTGCTACAAATTTTGTGCTCCAAGAATAATTGTCTCTAAGCAGACTAACGGGGTCTTTTTCTGGTTTGCAAAGTGGTGTTTTTTTTTGTTTGTTTTTGTTTTAATATTAAAACTTTAAAGGGACACTGTAGACCCCCAGACCACTTCAGCTCATTGATGTGGTCTGTGTGCAATGTCCCATGTACCTTAACCCTACAATAGTAATTATTGCAGTACCAGACAGCCACTAGAGGGATTTCTGGAATTGAAACAAACCTTTGTCTGTTATCTGAAGCTGGATGCCCTCACGCTATGCATAATGACCTCCAGCGTCAGATTTTCCCCATAGGAAGGCATTGAATGCTTTCCTATGGAGAAATCCTCGTGCGAGTGCGGCCATTGCTGTGCATGCGCATTAGTTGTCTCCCCCGTTGGCAGGGGAGGAGCGTGGGTGGCGCTTGACCCAGCTCCGAGGCACATCAGCGCTAGATTCAGGTGAGTGACTGAAGGGGAGCACTGTAGGATTCTACGTTGCCAGGAAAACAGATTTGTTTTCCTGGCACTAGAGTCACAAGAACAACTACAGCTTCTTGTAGTTGTTTCGGTATCTACAGCTGATCCCTGTAGGCTTTTTAAATGTAAACTCTGCCTTTTTATGCATTTCAATGAGGAGATGCTGATTGGCGCAGTGTAGCGTTTTGCCTAGTAAACTAATCTTAATAAAACATAACAAAGTTATGTTATATTAAGATTAGTTTACTAGGGTTTCCTTAACTAAAGGTTAGATCTGGAATACTCTATACTTATGTATCCATGACCTAACCTTTTTGTTGCTCTTTTTTGTATTTGTGTTTACAACCTGACACACTCTCCTCCCCTTTATCTTTATGGCATCTGTAGAGTTACAATTTAAAGAAATATGGCCTTCGCATCTGTTAATGTGTTTTTTTTGTATTTATTTGAAGAGACGCCCAATTTGTTCTTAGTCCAATGATGAGCTAATATACAATTTGCCGGCTACTGGTAAAAGTGAATATTTTTGAAACTGTATATTAATGTATCTAAACATGTCATTATAATACTAAAGAAAGCAAACTGCTGGTTGTTGGTAGAAGAGATACACATTTCCATTCATGTTGAAATAACAGAATTATGCAAACAAAACTGAACATGAGTCAAATCTGTTATTTGGATTCAGTTGCTGAAACGTGTCAGATGTTTTCACTGCTCTTCATTTAATTCAATTGAGTAGAAAATCTTTATATAAACAGTTGTGCTTGTAGTAGTTGGTTGACTTGAAGGGAGCAATTTAGTTCTGTTTTAAAGAGGAACAGTCATCAAGAGCAAGGTGACACTTCCTTTTCTCACTCATGTAACTGATACTGAGAAGTATGCCTTTAACACTTCACAGGGCTACCTTCTTCCATCATCCCTCATATTTCCACAGTTCCATGGCATGTACACATCTACTTGCTGTGACCAGGGGATCATGTGATATGTAGCAGGATGATGCAAATTCAAAGGCTGGATAATATACTTTTTAACCATTTGCAGTGTGGACCTACATAATTACAGTTCCTCATTTGGAATTGTAACGGTTGTGCTATCGCCCTTATTCAGAGCTCTTTACACATTTGTATTATGGTTGATGTCTTAACCCATATACTCCCAGTATCAAGTAAAATGCATTGTTTTTATTTACATTGCAAAAAAAAATGGTTGGTTAAGCGTAGTTTATAATCCATAAATAATTACCAACCTTTCGGGAAAAAAATTAATCATTTTTTGTCAGGAGCCACTGACTGCTCATTTAATGTCTTTAAGTATGTTGGAAATATATGCTTATCCACTTCTTTCAAATAGTAAAGGAAATTTTACTATTCCTACAGATACTTGTGTGAGTGAATGGCAGGGATGTGGCATCTACATTGTCCAACGCCCAGGTGGAAGTATTTTTTTATGTTTTCTGTTTTTAATCCTGCCATGGGTGAGTGTCAGGGCTGCCTTGGAGGAGTGATGATGCTGGGCAGGAGTGTACCTCCTGCAGGAGAGGAGCCAGACTGGCCCACCTGGAAACGCCAGTGACTTTGCAGTTTGCTGGGGGCTCACAGAATGGTGTGAGGAACAGAAGCGGCTAACTTCTCTTAACATTGCTCAGGAGAAATGGCCGCCAGCTTTGGTGTAGAAGAATATTACAGTTGTGTTAGTAAACCTGATTTTGTGATCTATTTATAGTTTTCATCCAACTAACATCATTTCTGAAACTTTTTTTTTCTTTCTTTATAACTAATTATTAATGGTAACTAAGCACCATCACAGCTTAGCATGACTGCTGAGATAATTTTACTTCTAGCTATTAACTCAGAGTGGCATAATAACCAAAACCTAATGGCCTTGGAGGTTTTTCTTTTCATAAGTTTGGTTAAGGTCTGAAGTCAAAATTCTAAATAAATTAAAGAATACTCAAAGCAGCATAATCACTATAGCTCCTCCCCCCTCCACCATTGTCCGGAGTCAAGCAATTTTTGAACGGTTTGACTTCTTACCTGGAATCTGTTTGGCACCACACCCACCTACCTCTTAAACTCCCAAGAGACTGGAGACCTGAATCCTTAGTCTAAGAACCTAGAGGACCACATCAAAAATCTGATAGGCAGGTTAAATATTCACTAATCGAACATTGGAGGCCTGCATTGGAGGTCTTGGATCATTGGTTTAGAGTGATTAGCTGACGCTCTCAGCCAATGAGCTACCAATGGGGAGGTGTTGGAGCCCTCAAGCTGTAGTGGTTATGGTGCCTGGCGTGTTCCTTTAACACTTAAGTGGTCAACCATGTGTTACAAATTGGTAAACAAGTTTAGTTTAGTTTGAATGCCATGCAGACAATAAGATCCGGCTGTGTTGGTATAACTTTAATCACCTACACAAAATACCACTACTACTTGTGCCTGAGGACCAGATTTCAGATTTTTTTTTTTTTTAAATAAAATCTTAAATACTCACATTAAAAACCAAGTCGACGTTTGTCAAGAAGCTTCATTCAACCATAATAGTCTCTTTGAAGTACATAAAATCTTGCACTTGTCGCTAATCCCTGTAAAAGGCAATTAGCCTTCCATATGGTATTGCTTTCCCCGACTTGTCATTTTCTTCAGATTGACCCTCCTCTCTCCCCTCCCCTACCCACTTTTCCTTGCCTTATGGGAGGAACAATAATATAATGCTTACAGCTCCTATCTCTTCTATGTGCTATCTTTTCTACCATGCACTGCATCTCAATATCTGTGTCGCCACTTCTGTTCTCCTCTGTGCATGATGTCTGCAGGTGGCCCTTCTGTGTGATTATTTTGACTGATAGATTGTGGATAAATTAACTTAGCAACAGAAATAATGTAATGGAACTTGGCTTAAAGGAACACTTTTTTTTAGTATTCGCAAGACAAAACTGTATTCCTAGCACTATAGTGTCCCTCTGCCTTACCCCTTCTGGATGATGAAATGGTTTAAAATCCCTTCACCCCTTCTCTTATCTTATTCCAGCATCGAGGTCCCTCAGTGCTGGATAGCTCTCCGCCACCTCTGATGTTTGAAGGGGGACCTAATGCGCATGCTTTGTAAGTGCCAAATGGGCATTAGGCCTTTCTCATAGGAAAGCATTGAGTCCATACAAAGCAGGAGGATGTACAGTTTTGTTTCACTGAGCTATGAAAGGCCAGGGAGCATTGAGAGACTGCCACTAGAGGCAGTCTTAATCCTGCAATCTAAACATTAGTTTCTCTAAAACTGCAATGGTTAACATTACAGGGTTAAAGGGACTGGGGCATTGCACCCAGACCACTTCAATGAGGGGAAATGAGGATTAAACAATAGTTTTAAAGGGACACTATAGTCACCTGAACAACTACAGCTTAATGTAGTTGTTCAGGTGAGATCTATAGCTCCCTGCAGGCAATCTAATGTAAACACTGTATTTTCAGAGAAAATACACTGTTTACATTGATTGGAATACCTCCAGTGACCGTCACTCAGACTACCACCAGAGGGGCTTCCTATCATGTATGGCCCTAAAAAGGCCATGTACACGTCAGACGTATTAAAATACATCTGACGTGTGCAGGAGAGAGAAGGCACTGTGCGCACCTTCTCTCTCCTGCCTGTCAGCAGAGGAGAGGAGGTGGGCAAAGACCGTGAGCTGTCAGTCAGCTCAGCTTGCGGCCACGCACGTGGCCTATAAAGTAGGTGTGGTGAAGCCGCGCATGTGCACAAGGGAGCAATGACACTTCTGAATGGAAGCGTCTGATTGCTCCCTGCTCGCGCCTGTCTATTTCGTCATTTTGCCGAAATAGGGGGCGCGGCTTCACCAGGCTCCCGGCGCTGGAACGAGGGGAGTAAAAAGGGCTGCCTGGAGTGTCCCTTTAATAAAGTTTCGCAAGTAAATATATATAAAAAAAAAAAGTTACACCCTCCGGTCTTTTCTTACTTACCCGGTCGCCGGCGATCGCGGTTGGGGGGACCCCCAGGGAGCCCCCCGCGGCACGTCCGACCCCCTGGGAGCCCCCCAGCCATGTGAGAGTGAGGTCCTTGCGAGGACCTCACAATCACATGGCCGGGATAGCTGACTGCAGCATTGCCAGCAGGGGGGCTGCCTGTAATGACAGGTGGTCCCCCTGCTGGCTGGAAATCAAATGAAATAAAATTAAAAGTGTAAAAAAAAAAACAAAAAAAAAATTATATACTTAGATCATATATATATATTTTTTTTGTGTGTGTGTATGTATGTATGTATGTATGTATGTATGTATATATGTATGTATGTGTATTGTGTATGTGTATATATATATATATATATATATATATATATATATATATATATATATATATATATATATATATATATATATATATATATATATATATGTGTGTATATATATATATATATATATATATATATATATATATATATATATATATATATATATATACACACTGTCTAGGTGTATTTTACTAATAAATATATATATATATATATATATATATATATATATCAAATTACTCGTAGACTGATACTGATTAAATATATATTGTTATATATATTTATAATATAAAAAAATGTAAATACGTTAAATTAAAAAAATAAATAATTAAATATATAGATGTTATTTCGTTCTAACTGTATTGTGAAATTAATATCTATATATATTTTCTCAAAATACACGTAGAACGAAATAAAATATATATATATATATATATATATATATATATTTTAATTCTACATATATGTTTATGTAATATTTTTACATAATTAGGTATCTTAATTAATTACAATTAGCGGGACCTGCCTGACAACCCATGCCGAAAGTAAAGGGAATTTAATTTGCTAGCACTATATTTAACCCTATAACTTTCCAAGACACCATAAAACCTGTACATGGGGGGTACTGTTCTACTCGGGAGACTTCGCTGAACACAAATATTAGTGTTTCAAAACAGTAAAATGTATTACAACGATGATATCGCCAGTAAAAGTGACTTTTTTGCATTTTTCACGCACAAACAGCATTACACGGACAATATTATTGCTATGATACTTTTTACTGTTTTGAAACACAAATATTTGTGTTCAGTGAAGTCTCCCGAGTACAACAGTACCCCTCATGTACAGGTTTTATGGTGTTTTCAAAAGTTACAGCGTCAAATATAAGGCTTGCGTTTCATTTTTTTCACATTAAAATTCGCCAGATTGGTTACGTTGCCTTTGAGACCCTATGGTAGCCCAAGAATGAAAATTACCCCTGTGATGGCATACCATTTGCAATAGTAGACAACCCAAGGTATTGCAAACGGGGTATGTCCAGTCTTTTTTAGTAGCCACTTAGTCACAAACACTGGCCAAAAATGTTGTTTTTTGCATTTTTCACACACAAATACTAACGCTAACTTTGGCCAGTGTTTGTGACCAAATGGCTACTAAAAAAGACTGGACATACACCATTTGCAATACCTTGGGTTGTCTACTATTGCAAATGGTATGCCATTATGGGTGTAAATTTCATTCCTGGGTTACTATACAGTCTCAAAGGCAACGTAACCAATCTGGCGAATTTCAATTTCAAATGTAACGTGCTATATTTGACCCTGTAACTTCCTAAAACGCTATAAAACCTGTACATAGGGGGTACTCTTTTACACATGAGACATTGCTGAATACAAATATGTGTATTTTATTGTAGTAAAAGCAAACAGTATTATGACATTGACAGTTAAAATGTCATGTAGAACTAAAAAATTTAAAATCTTTTCTCCCATTTTTTTTCATATTAAATTGTTTCATATCTAAATATTTGATATTAAATGAAAGCCCTGTTTACCCTGAATAAAATGATATATAATAAGGGTGGGTGCATTTACTATGAAAGAGGTGAATTACGGTTGGACAGACATGTAGCGCAAATGCCAGGTTTTGTTTACATTTTTTTGTTCACAACGTGTACATTTGACTCCGTCCTTAAGGGGTTAATTAAGCAGTTTTGGTGTATAGAACATTGCCCTGCAGCCTCACTGCTCAATCTTCTGCCATTTAGGAGTTAAATCCCTTTGTTTATGAACCCTAGTCACACCTCCCTGCATGTGACTTGCACAGCCTTCCATAAACACTTCCTGTAAAGAGAGCCCTATTTAGGCTTTCTTTATTGCAAGTTCTGTTTGTTTAAGATTTTCTTATCCCCTGCTATGATAATAGCTTGCTAGACCCTGCAAGAGCCTCCTGTATGTGATTAAAGTTCAATTTAGAGATTGAGATACAATTATTTAAGGTAAATTACATCTGTTTGAAAGTGAAACCAGTTTTTTTTTCATGCAGGCTCTGTCAATCATAGCCTGGGGAGGTGTGGCTAGGGCTGCATAAACAGAAACAAAGTGATTTAACTCCTAAATGACAGTGAATTGAGCAGGGGAATGATCTATACACTAAAACTGCTTTATTTAGCTAAAGTAATTTAGGGGACTATAGGGTTCCTTTAACAATTTTGTTTTGTTTTTGTTACATGGCTTTTGCTCAGTTTTGCAGTGGTGTTTGACAGGTCTTAAAATTTCAATGCAACACGCACATTTTGTTACACATGTAAAGGAATGAGGACATTATGAGCCTTCTCTGGGGAAGATTACTGTATCGGATGAAATGAAATGAAAGCTCAAGCTCTGATCCTATAAATAGACATTATGATCATGTGTGGGCAGCAGGTTTTCGCCTCGTGTCACAAGCAGTAACATCATGGAGCTGCAGATACTTACTGGTTTAAAAAGCACTATAACCTAATTGCAGAGAGACGGGAATCCTCCTCATTATTGGAGAGTGTTATTTTTTTTGCCTTCCCCCTCTGACCTATCATGTGCTTTCTCTTTGGTAGAAGATGACCACTTTTGATTGCTTCGGGGGATTAAAATTTGGTTAGATTTAGTATACAAAAAAAAAAAAATTATTAAAAAGGAGTTACAATTATACTTTTGCTTTAAAAAAAAAAACATGCGGCTTACATAAAATGACTTAATGTGGGGATTATAAGCACACTTCAAGCCTAAGCCCCCTTTCTCTTTCTCTTTCATCAGCCACAACATTAGAACCACAGCCAGGTGAAGTGAATAACATTGATTATATTGTTACAATGGCACTTGTCAATGGGGTGGTATATATTAGGCAGCAAGGGAACAGTCTGTTATTGAATTTCATGTGTTGGAAGCAGGAAAAATGGGCAAGAGAAAAGATCTGAATGCCCAAATAGTTATCTTAGACGACTAGGTCAGAGCATTTAAAAAAAAAAATTGCAAGCGCTGTGTGATATTCCTAGTATGCAATGGTTCGTATTTACCAAAAGTGGTGCAATGAAGAAGAACCAGTAAATGGCATCGGGTTCATGGGCGCTCGATGCACGTGGGCAGCAAAGGCTAGCCTGTTTTGTTCGATCACACAAGGGCTACTATAGCTCAAACTGCTAAAACAAAAAGTGGCCTGATTGAAAGGTGTCCAAACACGCAGTACATTGGAGTTGCTACATATATGGAGCTGTGAAGCACTTTCAATGGGTATGTACACATCAGAAGTGGACCATAGAGCAATGGAAGGTTGCCTGGTCTGTTAAATCTGGTTTTCTTTTTGACCAGGTGTGCAGCATCTATCTTGGAAGAAATGGGAGCAGGATGCATTATGGGAATAAGGCAGTCTGGCAGAGGTAGTGTTATGTTCTGGTGGGAAAGCTTTGTTCTTGGCATCCATGTGGAACTTACTTTGACATGTAGCATCTATCTAGAGCTAGTTGCAGACCACATTCACCCCTTCCTGGCAATGTTGTTCTCTGATGGCAGTGGTCTCTTTCTGAAGGATGATGCACTATGCCACACTGCAAAATTTTTTCAGGAATGGTTTGAGGAACGTGACAAAGCGTACAAGGTGTTTCCTTGGCCTCCGAATTACACAGACCTCAATCCCATGGAGCATCTGTGGGATGTGCTGGAACAACAAATACAATCTATAGGCCCCATCTCCCAAGCATGCCCCTCCAAGAACAAGTGACGAGGCTCAGTTCGTCAGTCTATGCTGAAGTTTTTACGGAGAAGTGGGTAATGGGAGAAAGACCCGTTTTTAAGTAGGCTTTTCTCCCAATCTGTATATTCTAATAACAAAGATTGGGAGAAAATGTATAGTTGAAATTTTGTACTTTCAAAAAAGCATATGTGAAAATACCCATGACATGTACCCTTTAAATAATTTGCAGCCATTAACATTGTGGGAGGTCAGTTTAACGATTTCTTAAAATAGGCTGACCGTATTATTTGGTAGTCTGTTTGTTTCTTGTCTCCCTACAATAAAAGGTACTAAAAAAATGTAGCATTTGAATGTGCATATTGATTTAAGAGTGCCTAAGTGTCTCTCTTTATTTTTGAATCACTTTAACAATGTTTACTTTTTTTAAGCTCAGATATGCAACACTCTTCTTAAACCATAATGTCCAGATACATTCTGAGATGGTCTAATAATGGATTTGTGTCTGTGTTTTTCATATACTTTTTTTTTTTTTTTTTTTGGTACATGCGTGCCAGTCAGATTTTTTTTTTTTTTTTTAATGTTTTCAAGAATTTGTGTAGTAGATGCAGTGAGAGTATTTGATTAGTAAATGCAGTGTGTGTGTGTGTGTGTTTGTCTCTGTCTCAAACTGTACAATGCAATGTGTGTGTATTTATGTGTAGTGGATGCAGTGTGTTTGTCTCAAACTGTACATTTTGTGTGTGTGCTAGATGCAGTGAGAGTATTTGATTAGTAAATGCAGTGTGTGTGTGTTTGTGTAGTGGATGCAATGTGTTTGTCTCAAGTGTACATTTTGTCTCAAACTAGAGCATTAGCTGTTCTGTTTTCACTGTGCTTTATTGGCAATATGATCATTATTGACTATATCACAAACATAGGGGTTGACAAACACTAAATCTTAATGCCAATATGTGTACATAGGCTAAATCATTCAGTGTGAGAAAATCTTTCTGCTTGTGATGCACAAAACAAATTTTAAAGCAATTTTTGCCAATGTGAAATTGAGCAGTAGGCTAACTTATTCCTCTTCCTTCAGATGCCCACATCAGTACATACTGCATTACAGACTGATTGAAGTTGCAGCCAATAGGGGGCTATATAAATATGCAGAAATTATGTTCTCAACGTATGTTCCCAGTAATGTAATGAATGACCAAATTAGGTATGGTATTGATGATGATACAAATTATACTTTTAATTACAGCTAGATAGTTTAGCATCTTTTTGCCTCTAAATGTAGGTGCCTTTGAAGGTACAGTGTTTAGGTTATATACCCATTTCCTTGGGAAAAGTATCAGTGTTTAATTTGAAGGGTTTATTACAGTGATTACAGCAATACATGTCAACTTTTTTTTTTTCCCCTCAAAGTGCCAACACAGCAATTAAACCTGAATATTGAGATTTAAGTTCAGAAAAAACAACTCGTACAGTTATCCGAACTAGTTAACATCTTTTGTTTTAAAAGACACAACAGAGAGTTCAATTATACAAATTTTAAATAATATTAATAGATAAAATTAAGCATATATTTATTAGTATCTCCAACAAATGCAATGCATACACACAGCTGAACACATTCACACACCGACTGCTTAATACATACACACAGACACATAGACTGCTAAATACACACAGTCCATTAAATACAAACATACACACAGTCAGTTAAAGGACCACTCTAGGCACCCAGACCACTTCAGCTTAATGAAGTGGTCTGGGTGCCAGGTCCAACTAGGGTTAACCCATTTTTTCAGGAGAGCTGTTTCCTAGATGACTCCCCCCTGCTTCCGGTCCTGCCGATAAGAAAGCAGAGTAGGCGCCTGCCGTTTCGGGCAGGCAGGTGCCTACTCTGCAGTGATGCCGAACCTACGGCCACGTGCCCAGAGAGGGCCCGGCGTGCCACAGGTTTGCCATCACTGGTTTATTATAATCCATTTATTTTTCTGACATTAGACTGTAGGGTACACTTTTTTGCAACAGATTTTTAGATTTTTAGAAGTAGATACATTGAGGTGCTTAATTATTGGAACATCAATCTAATCATCATTTTGATTGTTTCCATGTTTTGGTTTTAATTGAAACACAAGGAAAGTGGTCCTGGAACTAATAAGTTACCCAAGAGTGATTAAAACTTCACTTTTATTCTGTGTTTTAATTCTGTTACAGGCACACGCTTTAACCCTTCCCACCCTCCGTTCTTGAGAATTATAACAAGATTTTAAATAGATACCATTTTAACAAAATGATCCTTGCATGTGTAATGGAACAAGAATGTCCGTTGTCACTTTACGTGGGCATGGTGTTTTGTAACTGCAAAGCTTTCTGCACCTATAAACTAATCTCCTCACAGAATCAAACCATCCATCCTCCAGCAGATACACGTTCTGCAAGTACCTACTCACTCTAGCAGACTCCTTCATAACCTACTGCAAAGAAGCCAGACCAGTGTAAATGTCCAATCACCTCATCTGTTACTTCATTCACAAAACTAGAAATTAAACTACTAGCATTGGCTATCAACCAAGGCACTTTTTTTTATTTTTTTATTTCTATTTCATTTAATGAATGAAACTATTGAGGAGTGCTGAACTACATATCTAGGTTAATTGATTAATATGTATTTATTTTAATTTGTAGAAAGAGATTTAGTTAATTGGATTCTTGAATATCTTAAATGTAAAACATTCTTTAGTTAAAGAACCACTTCAACTTGCTGAAGTGCTTTATGGGTGAGGAGTATCCTATTTTAACTCCAGTTTAAAAATGTGCGGATTTCTACGTGTATTCGGCACTTCTATGAATGAATTATTGAACTCTTCCTGGGAGGTTTGCTGCCTCCTTCTATAAGCTCCCTTGAGCTAACAGAAATGAGAAGCCTCTGGTTCTTTCCCAGTGAAGATACTGCAAGTCTTTCTGGGTGCAATTTTTTATTTATTTATTTATTTGTGGTAAATGCACAAAATATACATGCCAGTCAGATTTTTTTTTTTTTTTTTTTCAAGAATATTTGTGTGTGTTTGTGTAGTAGATGCAGTGAGCGTATTTGATTTAGTAGATGCAGTGTGTTTGTGTGTAAATGTGTGGTAGGAACTCCCCTCCTCCTTACACGTCTTAGTGCCCCACCTCAGTGTTACTTTTCCCTCTTCCTTAGTATCCTCCCTAGTGTTCCTTTCTTCAACCCCCTTTTCCTGTCCCACGGTGCTCTTCGACCTCCCCACTTTCCCTGTCCCACGGTGCTCTTTGACCTCCCCCCTTTCCCTGTCCCACGGTGCTCTTCGCCCCTCCTTTCCTTGTCCCATGGTGCTCTTCGCCCCTCCTTTCCTTGTCCCATGGTGCTCTTCGCCCCCCCCCTTTCCTTGTCCCATGGTGCTCTTCGCCCCCCCTTTCCCTGTCCCATGGTGCTCTTCGACCCCCTTTCCCTGTCCCATGGTGCTCTTGACCCCCTTTCCCTGTCCCATGGTGCCCTTCACCCCCCCCTTTCCCTGTCCCATGGTGTTCAACTGTTCCCTAGTGATCCTTAACACCCCCAGCCCCTCTCCCCTCCTTGGTCACCGCTCCACGCTGTGTCTCCTGGTAGCGTGGGTAAGCGGAGCAGTGCGCACCGCTGTACAGTATGATTTATAATACTGTACTGAGAGGATATGAAAAATTGCCCTATTGTATCTTATTTTATTGTATTATCTATTTTTCTTATCTTTTTATATCTCTTATGCTATGATCAATTGTGATTTATTTGAGGTATTACTCTGTATCTCGATGTGCAGGCTATTGGCTTTAAAAAAAATTGAGAATTTTTGTTGTGGAATTGCTCAGTTTTTTTATTAACTCATCAAATCTACCACATTAAGTGAATTTCAATTATATCTAATTACTGTTTTTTTTTTGTTTTTTTTTAATGAATTCCAATGACATCTAATAATTGTATTGCATTTCAATTGAATCTGATTACTTCTTTGAATTAATTCTATTTGAATCTCAGCTTTGACACAGCTGTTAGCCACTATTAAGTAAACCATATTGAGAGGTAAATAAATGAAATTGCTTGAGTCATTTAAATTGATTAATTGTTAAATTGTGTTAATCTCTCGTATTCCTATAAAAATGGATTTGTGCATGCATTTGATAGCTTGACAAAGACCGTGTAGGTCGAAACGTTGCAGTGGGTTCAATAAATTTGCCTTCTTGTATCCTGAGTGTGCCTGGACTTCTCTTCTATTTTTCCACATCAGATATTTGGTTCCTGATACTTAGACTGGTCTGGTGCACCTGGATACATTTGAAATGGGTTTGGGTGCAGTTCCACATTCCTGCTTTATTGTACCCGGCCAGACTGACAAGAAGTGCCCTCTCAGTGAGCACTTCCTTTCAGTCCGGCCGGGTACAGGAATCTGAAGTTCCTGTGCCACAGTGCGCTCTGCTCCGCTCGGCCACGCTACACAGAGTGCCTGGCAGGAGGGAGCGCTGTGCACCCACCTCCTGCCGATCACTCCATTTTAGTGCCCCCCGGGCCGGTGTGCCTTAAGGCGGCCGCTTGTGCCGCCTTCTGGACGCGCCGGCCCACTCATTCATAATCGGTATTGCCGGTGATTATCGACCGATACCAATATTTACAAAAAATTGGAATATCAACAAAACCGATAATCCGTCGATCCCTAGTACCAATAAAGTTTGCACTTTATTATCCATGATCCTCCCCAGATAATTATCTTTAGGAAACCTTTCTATAGTTTTGGAATGTTTTTTCAATGCTTAGGGCCATCTCCTTGGAGAATTGTTTTACTACACTATTTAGCAGGTTTATATTGCATCTGTTATTTTGTGTTATAGGGAGTGCCTTGTTCAATATTTCCATATTTCACATGTATTAAATGTTAACATTAAAGGTGACCAATGAGGTTAAGCATTTTGCAACGAAGGATGTCCTCTGCAAGCACATCTAAAGTGCTTGTCTGAATACTTACACACTTCCTGGCATCCAGATGGAAAACCGTTTTTAAGCCTGCAAATGATATTGTCTAATGTGCAAAACCCTTGTTTTGGCAGCTAATCAATTTTGGAGTTGGCAAATGCACAATACATGTAGTACAGTTCATAACTTATAAATGTAGCTTCATGGAGTGGTGAAAGAGCATTGATTACTGGCTTAACCGTAGGCTATGAAGGTTTTATTCCAGGAATCCATCATTCGTCACTAAAGGTTCATTATGGAACAGTCCATGCCCTGAAGTTGCTGTATATTGTGAAGCTGCACAAAGGTGGCACCATGGGCTTTCTGAAGTAAATATTTTACATGGCTCGAGGTTAATTACTGCTTTTAATAACCACGGGTAAGGGGTTGGGGACCCCTAGTCACTAGGGGCTTGGGGCTAGTCAGTGTTCCTTTTTTAGGCATAGCATGTGAGAGACTTGCAAATATTTTATTATACTACATTACTGTGCTATTTTTTTTTTTTTTTTTTTCGTGGATTATAACTATTATCTAAACTTTGTCAGACTGTGTTGATTTAACATGAGTCACTGTGAAGACATTTTGTTAAACTGTTCAATTATTTTTCCCATTTGTCTAGCCTCTAGTTGTCTGTGTATGGTGAGACTTCCTGTGAAATTAGGATATCCTAAAAGGCTAATCCAAGCAACATTACCACTTTAGTTTGAAATTCTGCACATTTAGAGAAATATTTGTATTTTCCGTCGAAGGCAGGATCATTAGTTGCAGCCTGGCTTTTGTAAATTCTATGCAAATTCTTTACATGGAGTCTTATTAAGAGCGCCCACCTGACACTCTGTCCATGAATGAAATGAGTGATTGGCAGCATCTGGTGGTTACGCAGGTAGGAGGGCACCAGGCCACCTCTTGTCTATTGTGGTAATGATGCTTAGAGTAATCCTTTAATCATAACGTTTGCTTATGTGATCCTTGTTTTCCATTACATTTTTAATATGCATTTCTTTTATTGTAGTATTGGATCAATGAATATACATCGTCTCTTGGGATTGGTGTCTTCCATTCTGGTATTCAGGTGTATGGCAGAGGTATGTAGTTTTGACTTGTGTTACAGTCGTGAATTTGCAGTTTGTGAGCTACCTCTCAGTTTCCAATTTACTGTGATACATAGAATGTCTCCAGTTTCCTGGCTGTCAGTCACAATGTCAAACCAGAAAAACTGCTTTCCCAAAGCTTTTGGCAAATAAAATCTAACATAAGTAAAAAATTGCTTCTAAGCAGCGAATAGCCCTGTGTTTGTTCATGAGCACTGTTAAACCCTGAATTAGGAAACAAGTCTAGGGCAGACGGGGACACATGTACCCCACTATTGGCTGGCATATCTATATCACAGCCCAGTCCAGTGCATATAGGGAGGGACACAGTTCTGTTCCACCATCCACCCCCTAGCTCCCAGACCCTTTCAGTGGAAGAGGTAGAGGCACTATTTATGCCAGTGTCCTTCCCTGTTAACATATTGGCTCCTCTTAAGTTTAAATAACAGTTTGCACCCATTTCCTGCTCACAATTTTGAACCCACCTCCCCCAAATGTATTTATTTTAATGCCAGCCACCACACACATAACAGTTGTTTTGATTTTTCACTCCAGCTGGCACAGTTCAGCCTTTTAAAATACAGGTCTGGCTTTTAGCAGTTTGACCAGGCTGAAATCTTGATCTGATTCAGGCCCATTTGGAGTCCATTTTGCAAAATTGTTAAATACAATGATCAATGTCTGGATGGTTTTGACTTATTTGGGACCGGGACATTAGGATTTTAGTGAATAACCCTGTTAGTGTTGGGATAAAAAAAATAAAAATTTTTTTTTTATATTTTTAAACCTTTGAACCACTTTATGGAACCTACATAAGTGTCATTAATTGCATTTGGTCTGTAGGATGATTCCTTGTCTGAACTGGATTATGATCTAATTCAGGGTTTAAAAAAATTAGCTTGGAATCTAGGAGCCTGGTACAAAGGTTAGGCGCCAGGGTGTTTTATTAAATATTTTTTTATTTAAGAGGGACACTATATTTACCAAAACAACTTTAATGAAGCAGTTTTGGTGTATACATCATGACCCTGCAGTTTAACTCTTTCATTCTCTGCAATTTGTGAGTAAAAGCACTCTGTGTAGCCCTTAGGCACAGCTCTCTGCATTTGATTTGCATAGCCTTCCCAAACTCTTCCTGTAAAGAGTCATCTAATGTTACATCTGGTTGAAAATAACTTTTTTTTTTTTTTTTTTTTAAATGCAGGGTGTGCCTAGGGCTGCATAAACAGAAACAAAAGTGATTTAACTCCTAAATGGCAGTGAATTGAGCAGTGACACTTCAGAGGCATTATCTATACACAAAAACTGCTTCACTAAGCAAGTTGTTTTGGGGACTATAGTGTCCCTTTAACCCCTTAAGGACACATGACGTGTGACATGTCATGATTCCCTTTTATTCCAGAAGTTTTGGTCCTTAAGGGGTTAACAAAGCTTCATTTTCTACAACAAAGCTACATATCTTAAAAGGACACAATACTCATGAGAACCATTACAGCTTAATGTAGTGGTTCTAGTGTCCATAGCTTGTCCCTTCAGGATTGTCAATGTAAAATTTTCTTTTTTGAAAAAAGGTAGTTTATCCTATAGAAAAACATTGGCTTGGCTGAGCGCATAAAGATTCATTTTAACCACCATGGAGGCAGGGATACTCGCAGCGAGACCAGCACAGAGTGGAATTTTTTTTTATAATAACACTTTTCCCAATTGGAGGGGAGCAGATCACCTTAATACATAAAAAAAAAAAAAAACTTGTGTGTGCCTGACTGTGAGGTCAGACACACACTAACAAGTTTTTTAAATTTATTTTTTTCCTAGCATATGGTGGCAGTACACAGAAGGGTTGTACTTTACATATATTGGGACAAGTAACTTGTAAAATATTAAAATGAATTAACTTGCTCCTCCCACTCTCTCCTTATATTCCCCACAATCCACTATTAACCAGTTCTTCTTGTCCCAGCATGGGACAGACAGGTAGTCTGTTAGCATTGTGAGGCACATGGGATGTTGTCAGGGGGAAATGGTCCGATCGCTGCCCGGGTAGTACACTGAGTGACCCTGCTCCAGCAATTACAGAGCGAATGGAGATAAGCGCATTTATGCAGAGAATGGACCCGGCAATCCTGTTTAGTGGCCAGACTGGCGCGCCGAAGACATTGGGGTGAATGCGCCTGCGCACAGTGGTGGAACGCTTGCCGGGAGGCCTTGTATTCCACCAAAGTTCCGACCGTGCTACTGCGAATGCGCAGGTCGGAACACTGTTATTTTGGGGGGGGTTGCACTAAATTTGAATCGCTATTTAGGCAGTGCTAGACCCTCCTGTCAGCAGGATGCTTTTCAGATTGGTTCTTACGTGTCACCAGACCCCCTTCCCCCACATGGCTCTGAGGTTTTTGAGGTGAGATATATTTTGTCTCTACTTTAAAAATCCTTTTTAATTTTTCTAATTTGTATTTTGAAGCTGAGTTTTTCTTTCAGAATGTCTATTCCTGTTTCACCTAATAAAATTGAAAAAGACAGGAATCCTGCACCCAGGCAAGTTATTGCTGAGGCAAAGCATTTATGCTGCAGTGAATGCTCATCTCCTCTGCCGGATGGATATAAGGTGGTCTGTGATTTATGTTCGGCTGAGAGTCTGGAAAAATCCAAGTGAAAATACATGCAGTCTTTTTTTTTTTTTTCTTTCTTGGTTCCAAGATAATTTGGCTCAAACCTTTGAGTCTTTTAAGGAAACAGTCAGATCAAGTATTCCAGTAGCTGCACGTTACTGCTAGTAAGAAACATAAAAGTAGATGATCTTCATCTAGTTTGGAAATATCCTCGGAAGAATGCTCAGCTTCAGTTTTCTCAGAATCTTCTGATTCCTCATCTAGTGTGGAGATGGGTTTCCCACCAGATAAGCTGAGATAGTTTATGATGGAGGTATCATTGATTTTGAGTGAAGATCTAACTCAAAAATCTATGGAAAAAGGGTTTTCCTGTTCAGAAAAAAACTGATTCTTAATGTACAGAGAATGGAAAAATCCAGAAAGGAGAGCTTTTATTTCTAGGCACTTTAAGAACCTTTTCAAGGACAAGATCAAAGTGATGATAAATGGGAAGAACTACCTAAGGTAGACATACAGGTAGCTCTGCTTTCAAAAAAGGCAACCATTCCAATTGGTGAAGTTTCTGCCATTAAGATCCAATGGAAAAATGGGCTGAGACATCTTGTAGAAGAGCCTTCCAGTCAGCTGGTGTTCAATGTAATGCAACCTTAGCAGGGGCTTCTGTTAAAGCTCAAAGCTTATGGGTACAGTCTCTGGAGGATTGTTTGAAATAAGACGCTAACAAAGATTTAGCCCATATCATGAATAACTTGAAACTCTCCAATGAATTTTTAATGGATATGTCAGAAGCTATCCTGAAATTGGCAGCTCTCATTGTGGATTTTTCCTCTGTAGCCAGAAGTGCTTTATGGCTACGATCTTGGTCTGCCGACACAGCCTCCAAGTCTGCCCTGTGTGAATTTGATCAATCAAAGCTGTTTTGGATCACCTCTTGAAGAGATTATCAGACAAATGTCTAAAACAAAGGGTCTTCCACAGATGGAAAGTTCTTTGGGCACAAAAGGAGATGGAAGATTTGGCTGCTACACACATAAAGGGGAAAGACAACCTTGTAGAAAAGTTGAGCAGGTCAAAATCTTCACAAGAAGAATGGTCCCTTCATCCAGAGTTATTCTCCGCTCTCACCAGAAGATTCGGAACTCCAGACATGGATCTGATGGCTAGAAGGATAAATCGCAAGGTCAGGATGCTTGCCTCACTTCAGTCAAGATCACTCCCATTTTCTAGGCAGGAAGTCCATCAACTGAAATTTCATTTTGGCGTACGTTTTTCTTCCTATAGCCTTGATCCAAGGGTTATCCAGAAAATCGGGTCAGAAGAGGCTCGAGTGCTGGCAATTATAACTTACTGGCTCAAGAGAAGTTGGTTCTCTGAGTTATGGATGATGGCAGTAACATTTTAGGAACTACCAACCAACCTTCCCTTGTTAGAAACCAGGCAACTACCCCTCAACACCTTGCGCATGTTCAGATTGACTGCAAGGCTAAAACTTCAGAGTCATGGCATTCAAGATAGCAGATTTGATCTTTTGATGGGCTCTACTAGAAAATCCACTTCAAGAATATATTTAAGAATTATGAATCGGTTCATTCATTGGTGTCATGACCATCACTGCCTACAAAGTTCCCATTCAGTTGTCACAATTATCCATTTTCTTCAAGATGGTTTTCTATTCCGTCTCTGCATCTCTACTTTGAAGGTGCATTTATCTGCCTTGAACTATTTTCTCATTAAAGAATTTACTTCTTAGTAATAGCAATGCTGCTGCTCAGACCTCCATGTAAGTCTTTTGTCTCTTCTTGGGATTTGTCTTTAGTCCTGCAGGCTCTATCTGAGTCTCCATTTAAAGGCTCTGGAAGATGTCCCTTTAAAGTTTCTTTTTTTTTTTTTCCAAGATAGTTTGTTTTCCTTGTGGCTATCACTTCAGCAAAAACAATTTGAGAAATTCAAGCCCTCTCTTCCTCTGAAGATTTTACAATTTTTCATCAGAATAAGTTTGTTATATCCCAAGCCTGCCTTGCCGAAGGTCATCTCTATGAAGGGCATCAACCAGCCCATTATTCTTCCTTCATTCTGTGGCTCGGAATCTTCTCCTCTAGAGCACAAGTTGCACACATTGGATGTTAAACAGCCCTTACAAATTTATCTTCTCAGGTCGACTCCTTTCAGATCACCTAATCATTGGATTCCAAGGAAAATCTAAGGGCAAACTGGTCTCTAGAACCACCATCGCTAGGTGGCTTACAGAAACCATCAGGTTATCATATATTCATTGTGGTCTTCAATCTCCTATATCTATTAAAGCTCACTCCACTAGAGCTATGGCCACTTCATGGGCAGAACATGCCAACGCAGCTCCAGATGACACTTTGCAGAGCTGCCACCTGGTCTACTTTTCACACATTTATAAGCACTACAGGATAGACCTCTTCTCATCCTCAGAAGCTGGGTTTTGGTGTCAGGTGCTCCAAGCCGTAGTATCCCGTTTTCCCGCCCATTTTTTATTTTCATTTGGGATCTTGCTATATCCCATGAGTGTACTGCCACCATATGCTAGGAAAAACTGACATTTTTCCTTAATATGGTGGCAGTACAATATCCCTCCCTGTTTTATACTAATTTGATTTTGCATTTGTGGGGTTTATATTTCTTTTGGTATTAACTAGTTAGTAGTGGACCGTGGGAGGAGCAAGTCAAATCCTTTTAATATTTTACAGGCTACTTGTCCCAGCATATGGAAGTACAACCCATCTGTGTACTGCCACCATTTTAAGGAAAAAAGAATTTACGGTGAGTAAAAATGTTAGTTTTTTCCCTAGCTTATGGTGGCAGTACACAGATGGGATATAGCAAGATCCCAAATAAAAATAAAAATTGGGCTGGAAATCGGGATACTAAGGTTTGGAGCACCTTATGCATTTGGGAGAGCTGGAGTGGATCCTTTCCTTAGGGTCCATTGGAGTTGCTGTTATCCTGTAATCTTTCTGCAAGCTCTTCTTTCTCTACTCTCTCGCACGCTGTATTGTGATGCTGGGGCTGGGTGACGTCATATCCCAGATCTAGCATCACAGCACAGGTGTGTAAGTATGCAGAGCAAGAAGAACTCGAAGATCAGATTCCTCCCTTGCTGTCCGACTCAGTGTTCCCTCAGCCAGCTGCCTACATGCTCCCTAAGCCGGCCGGCCACGTCGACTTAACGGGCAGACACCAGGATAAAATTCCTAGTAGCCATGGCTACCCGGCACCTGGGATTTGTCAAAACCTTGTGTAATTAAAGTTAATATTTAATAACAGCATCTCATGAACAAAAGGTTACCCTAAGGCAGGGGTAGGCAACCTACGGCACTAGTGCCATGCACGGCACTCGAGGTGCCTTTGCACGGCACTCGAGGTGGTGAAGGACAATGCTCAATTTATGCATTGCAGCACGTAGAGGAAGTGATCTCAGAGCACTTAATTCCAGCACTTGTGAATGGGAATCCACACAGTATTCGAGCAGCTTGTTGGTGTTGTTGTTGCAGCTCCTGTCCTTGACCAGTACCTGGCTGGTCTGGTCCCCACTGGAACCCAAGGAAGCCACCGACACTGCTAGATATACACAGAAATGCAGAATAACCCTCCCCTCATACAAATAATATGGACAGCCCACACACAAACATACACACAATCCGCACAAACGCAACACCACTAACAATCCACATACATGCATACAACCCCACATGCAGCCTCTCACATGCAATACCCCAGACAGCCCCCACACACTACCAAATACACAATGTGACATATCCATCCACACACACAATTCTACAAAGTGCCCCCATACACAGCCCACATTCATACACAATACCATAAACTACTCGTGAACATATACAATATAATAGCTCCTATACGCACAAATACAACAATACAAAGCAATTACAGTATAAATACCACAAGCAGAATACGGCAGCATACACACCTCAATTTAAAAAAATAATAGGACCGGCACGCTACGGGACATCACAATCCTATATCTGCACAGTGCTGCTAAAAGGTTGCCTACCCCTGCCCTAAGGTAAAGGAAATTCACATAGCTGTATAAATTGCAGTTGCAGTACTTCTTTAATTTCATAAAATATTTGAGCGTGGTCATTGGCAGTCATGTCTTGCTGTAGGCCAATCTTTGGCATTCCAGATGTTGTGGACTAAATCTCCCCTGATGCTTTGCCAACTTTATGGCTGTAAACACACTATGAGAGATGTACTGGGGTGATGATGGATGCATATCCTTGCTCTGGCAGATCTTACTTTAGAAACTACAAATTTTGGTTGTTTGCAGGAGTTTGAGTTGGTTGCTCTTGCACATTTTTTCAATGTATTGCCTATAGATATATCCCTTGAATTGTCTCCTTGTGAAGGGGTCTTGTATGCGTCGTAGAGTCTGCAATAAATGTCATAGGGCAGGAAACCTAGAAACAAAGGACCTTTTTATGTGGAGTTTTTAATGTGTATTTTTCTTTTCTTTTTTTTTTCTTTGTAATACACTGCTAAATCTTCCATTACTTTAAAAAAAAAAAAAAAAAAGCTCTTCTTGCAAATGTAATAGTAGTGCTTTGAGTCCTGATGACCGCACATTTCCTTTGTCTGTATCACTTCTTACGGGGGCATCATATATTGCAAATCAAATTTTAGTTACTCAACAATGTCTCTTGGTGATTTTTTTTTTTTTTTTTATTTTTATTTTTTTTTTGTTAGTAGCAAATATACGATTAGTAATAGTTGGTATGTAACAACCAGATACTTGAAACACAACCTGACGAGCCCATTTAAGACGTGTGCACTAGACGTTGTCAGTTACAGTTTTGAGCTTGCACTTAGTACCATAAAACAAACAGAATAACAAACAGACGGTAAAAGTGCTGCAACACAGCCTTATGTTTTGTCAATGATCATAACTCTAATATTGAATAATAATGTGAAAACTGCTACATGTGTTAGATAAATGAACTAGTTTAGATGAATATTGTTGCTGATTACTTTTATGTTTCTTTTTTATTTATTTTTTTATGAAGAATTTGCCTATGGTGGTCATCCCTACCCATTCTCTGGAGTCTTTGAAATTTCTCCTGGAGATTCAACTGAATTAGGAGACACGTTTAAATTTAAGTAAGTACTGATGTGTGTCCTGTATTGCCTGTGAATGAATTTGATTCTAAAGGGTGGGAGAGAGAGGGAGGAGGGGTTATTTCTGTATAAAAGTAAATTTTAGTTGCACAATGCACAAAACAGTTTATGCTAGAAAGGTGTTGATACATTTTTTTTTTTTTTGTGGCTTTTTGAAGTCTCTTAGCAAGAATGCAATAATTTTTTACTCAAAATAATTTCTTGACATCGAAAGTGTATGACTTGATGGCTGCTACTTCCTGCAAGGGAGATATTAGAATTATCATCATTTATATAGTGCTAACCTATTCCAAAGCGATTTTATATTATTATAAAGGCTGAAATTTAACAATAAATGAGACCATTACAAAATGTTACAGAAACAATAGGTTGATGAAGCCCTGCTCAAATGATCATACAATCTAGAGGTAATTGGCCTCTCTTGCAGAGCCTGCAAGGGGCAGCATTTTTCCCAAAGCTCCCCTTTCCTCCCTTTACCTTTTGTTAATTGAGTTTTTTTTGGGTTATGGCTTTTATTTAGTTTTTTTAAATTTCATGCATTCCCCTCTTCGATTCGGAGTGCCTGCATGCACTCAAAGCCAGTTAAATAGTCCAATCAAAGGATTCTATGAGAAGCCTTTGATTGGACCTTGGTTACTGTTGCCATGATGTCTGATGGGGGAGTGATCAGCAGTGCCAAAAGCTTGGCCCAGCACTGGGCTTTTATTATTTATTTTAGTGTTTTGGCTGTTTTTGGTTTGTAGGGGTTTTGTAAGGCAATAATGCTTTATTAAGAAACTATTTTAAAGGATGGGGGGGAGGGGTAGTTCAAGTATCAAGTAACCCTTTAATGAAAAGAAGTTGCTAAATCTAATATTTACTAAAATAGACAATAGAGCCCGCTATGTGGAAAAAGAGCTACCTTACTTGCGGCTGTAAATACTCTCAGCTTAAGCTGACAGTGTGCAGTATTTCCTCTTGACCATTGTTTCCATTTCATAGACAAAAATGGCCTCCGAGGGAGAAAACATGGCAACTTCAGATATGTATGGGTTGCACTGTGCCTGCTTTTTGTTCTGTCTCTTAAAAAGAACACACCCCATTAAAATAATATAAATCCATAAAAAGGCATGATTATTATAGTGTTGTGCAGAGGTTTAATTTTATTTTCAAGGTGTACAGGAAATCCATTGGATTTCTTCGGTCTGAACATTTCAATTGTGTGTGCACTTCATGGTGCCAAGTATTGTATAAGGGCCATCATTACCCTGCTTTGTTCTCCTAAATATAAAAGCTTTGGTCTAATCTTGGTACTTGCAAGTGGGAGAAATGCTACACACTTCTTAGCAACGTGAATAGTTGGTTATCACAGGGTGCAGACGAGTGTATGTATGGAGAGGCATTTAATTGAACATAATCAGACAATTTGCCCCATTCACACTGACTAAAAGCTATCAAAATGTCAAATATTCTAATAGACTTAAATCATGTAAGTTAATGAAGAGGCTCATGTGGTGTTGTAGGGTATGTCTTTCTTTATGGAACTTTGCTGAATGTTATAAACGAAAATTACTTAATCCATTGTTTATCTTTAATATAAATGGAAAGTGTTTTTGCATGTGTGTTTTAAAATGATCCTCCTTGGAAATTATTTATATTTGTATGCGTTGTGTTTAACTGAAATTAACAATATTGTGTTAAATTAAAAAAAATTATTTTTCTATAATTGTAAGGTGCTGCAGAATATGTTGGCGCTATATAAATGATGAAAATTTTTTCTGTTTTTTTGTTTAATATATACTCCCACCCCTTTCTTGCACTTCAGAACTTCTTAGCCAGGGATGAATTAGTTGTCCTGGTTTAGACTTTCTTAAATTTCAACTCAAAGGGACACTATAGTCACCAGATCTACAGCTTAATGTAGTTGTTCTGGTGAGTATAGTCCGTCCCTACAGTGTTTTCAGAGAAAAAGCAGTGTTTACATTACAGCCAGGGCCAGATTAACAGCCCAGTGGGCCTGGTGCTGACAATTATGACGGGCCTAATTAAAGAATCATATCGACCAAAAACACTAAAACACTCCCAAGCGTCATGTATCTGATGGAGATGGTGCTGGAGAGAAAGAAAACAGCAGCTATAAGAAAAAACACATACCCTATGCTAATCTCCCTCTAACTTATGTTTCCATCTTTCAAGTAAATCCATAACCCCTAACAGCACTGTCCAGACAAGCAGGAAGTCAATGGGCACGGTAAAAGGCTGTGCCACGGACACAAATCAAGTAACCTGCCAAAAGGGGCAAACATGCCCAAAAAGAGGACATGTCTGCCCAAAGAATTTGAAGGCCAGCCTGGCATGAATGCATGTCAGGCTGCCTGCCAATCATGCAGCTGGCCAACTAAGGGCATACTATGCAGACAGCACCCTGAGCTAGGCATAAATGCATCTAATGATGTGCTCGCTCAACGCTTTCTAAAGGACTGTCCCCTAGCACTCGCTGGTCCACTTGTCTCCTTACCTTCTTACTAGCAGGCACACGCTCCTGGTATATAGTCTGGGACAGAGAAAAGCTGTATGTAGTGAGTGTAGAAGAATGGGAACATGCCACAGTGTTAGAGAGACCAAAGTCAGCATTACCTTAAAGGATCACTATAGGGTCAGAAACACAAACATGAATTCCTGACCCTATAGTGTTAACACCACCATCTAACAACCCCTGGGCCCCTCATGCCTCCATAAATATAGTACAAATCTTACTGTATTCAAGCCTGAAGCTGTATCTCTGCATGCTGTTTGACTCAGAAAAACAAGCAGTGTGCTGACATCATTAGTCATCAAGTGGTGGCCTGATCCAATCACAGTGCTTCCCCATAGGATTGACTGAGACTGACAAAACGGCAGATCAGGAGCAGAGCCAGCATGATTCAAACACAGCCCTGGCCAATGAGCATCTCCTCATAGAGATAAATTGAATAAATGAATCTCTATGAGGAAAGTTCAGTGTCTGCATGCAGATTGAGGAGACACTGAATGTTTGGATGCATTTTAGGCAGCCATTACCCAGGAAGGATCTCTAACAGCCATCCAAGGAGTGGCCAGTGAAGTTATCACGAGGCTGTAATGTAAGGACTGCATTTTCTCTGAAAATACAGTGTTTACAGCAAAAAGCCTGAAGGTAATGATTCTACTAACCAGAACATATTCAATAAGCTGTAGTTGTTCTTGTGACTATAGTGTCCCTTTAACTATATTCATTGTCAGCCAGTCCACACAAGTTTTGTTCCCATACATCCCTCTTAAAGGACCACACTAGGCACCCAGACCACTTAATGAAGTGGTCTGGGTGCCAGGTCCAGCTAGGGTTAACCCATTCTTTTATAAACATAGCAGTTTCAGAGAAACTGCTATGTTTATGAATGGGTTAAGCCTTCCCCCAAAGCCTCTAGCGGCTGTCTCATTGACAGCCGCTAGAGGTGCTTGCGTGCTTCTTACTGTGATTTTCACAGTGAGAGCACGCCAGCGTCCATAGGAAAGCATTGCAAATGCTTTCCTATGCGACCGTCTGAAAGCGCACTCAGCTCTTGCGCATTCAGCCGACGGGGAGGAACGGAGGAGGAGAGCTCCCCGCCCAGGGCTGGAAAAAGGTAAGTTTTTATCCCTTTTCCCCCTTCCAGAGCCACTAGGACACTAGGAAGACGGGGAGACCTGGGGACACGGGGAGATCTAGGGACACAGAGACACCAGTGACACTGGGAAACTAGGGGACACTGGCTGGGACACATGGGGACACTGGGAAAATAGGGGACACTTGAAGACATGGGGACACAGACACTAGAGACACTGGCTGGGGGACAGGGGGACATTGAGACATGGGGGCACAGGGAGACATGGGGACACTGAGACACCACGGCCACAGACATTAGGGACACTAGCGTGGAGACATGGGGACATTGAGACACTTGAGGCACTGGGAGACATGGAGGCACTAGAAGACATGGGGACAGTGAGACACTGGGAGACTAGGGGTCACTGAGACACCAGGGATACTGGCAGGGAAACATGGGGACACTGTCTGCCATAATGTCTCCCAATGTCCCTTAGTGTCTGTGTCCCCATGTCTCCTTGCAGCTTTCCCCCCATCCCTTACTTCCCTGAGCTGTAGGCTGTCTCTGCAGGGTGGGAGAAGCTGTCTGGACTCTCTTTAGCTGCATCCCTGCAGATCAGTGAGTAGAGAGAGGCAGGGAGGGATATGCTGGAACTTCCTATCCCTGCCTGTCTCCACACACAGCGACCCCTACTGGCCAGTGCTGGTATTGCATAGTAATCTCCTGTTTATACTGAGAAAAATACCAGCATTTGTATTGCCAATATCACCAGCCAGGCAGCCACAAATACTGGCTGTGCCAATAAAATAAAAGCATAAGAGTAGTGTGTGAATTCTTTTTTTTTTTTTTTTTTTTTAAATCAATGGGCCTATTCCATGGGCCTGGGCCTGGGCCTGGAGCTGCAGCTCCATCAGCCCCTATGTTAATCCGGCCCTGATTACAGCCTAGGGATACCTCCACTGGCCACTCCTCAGACTGGCCTTCAGTGTCTCCACCCTCTGCATGGAGACACTGAACTTTCCTCATAGAGATGCATTGACCAGGGTGGCGTTTGGCAATGGCCCTAGCCCGCTTCCTTGGCAGACCTCATCAGATTTGTCAGTCTCTGCCAGTACAAGGCTTTCCTATGGCCGATCAGGGGCAGAGCCAGCAACATCAGACTGGAACAAAGGTAAGATTTTACTATATTTAGGCAGCTAAATAATATATTTAATCCTATTAGGATTGTACTTGATGTTGCAGCTCAAGTTCATAACTTTTTTTTTTTAAATCTGTCTCATGGAAAGTTGGCTAGCTTGCAGTTTCTTTTAGTGAGTGGAGAATACCATAGCGAAATATTGTGCTTTATTAAATCTGATCATTCCTTTCTGTGGTCTCTCATGTTTGACATTAGCTCGTTACAAATAACTGGGCCTAGCTGAACTAGAAAGATCTAAAAAAAAAAAGTGACAGGTTTATTTAAAGAAGAAAAAAATAATTTTAACCAAATTTTTGGTTTTTGCGTTTCTGTCAAATGTCAGCTAAAATATTTAACTATAGCAACAGGATGTTTGTTTGTCCTGCAACAATTGAAATTAATCAAATTTAACTTTTTCGTTTCTTGGTATGAAATTAGCTTAAGTCAGCGCTTGACAAATTTGCTTGGAATCTAGGAGCCAGGTTTTTCAATGCCAAAAATACAATTCCTAAAGGGACACTATGGTGATGAGTCACCATAACCACTACAGCTTAATTTAGTTGTTCTGAAGTCTATATCCTGTCCCTGAACTCTTTTCAATGTAAACACTGACTTTTCAGACAAAAGGTAGGGTTTACATTGCTGCCTGGTGTCACCTCTAGTGACAGTCACTCAGACAGCCTCTAGAGGTGGTTTCCAGGTCAGTGCTTTACACTGTGCAGCGCCTATGTTAAGGTTCGCCATAGGGATGCATTGATTCAATGCATCTCTGAGGAGAAGTTGATTGGTGCAGTGGCATTTTGCCAAGCACACGCAATAGCCTCTCAATGCTTTCCTATTGGGAAGCATTGGATTAGTTGAGATCCTCAAGATTGATTATTTCAGCCATGGAGGTGGGGCCAGCCGCAGCATCACCAGCACGGCATGGGGAAAAGGTGAGTAATATCTTTTTCCCATGTGATTGCAGGGGGAGACAGGTCACTTAAACATACACACACTCACTGACAGGCACGCGCACAAATCATTCCCTTTTTTTTTTTTTTTTTTTTTTTAAAACCACGCAGCCTCCCTACATTTGGGAGAGCTGGGGTGGATCAGCTTTTTTTCCCTGTGGTCCAATGGGGCTGCTGTCCGCTCCCTAAATCGCACTGTTTAGTGAGCCGGAGGGGACAGAGTGACCTCATACTCCGGCTCCCGGCATCACTGCCAGGAGTGTGAGGGTGCAGAGCAGGGAGATTACAGCGTTCTCAAACGTCGCACTGTTAAGTCAGCCGTCCACCTCTCTCTCCTCTCCATTGCCCGGCAGCCGCGCCCCTCTCTCAGCTCTCCATTGCCCGGCAGCCGCCTCTCTCTCTCAGCTCTCCATTGCCCGGCAGCCGCCTCTCTCTCTCAGCTCTCCATTGCCCGGCAGCCGCCTCTCTCTCAGAGCTCTCCATTGCCCGGCAGCCGCCTCTCTCTCAGAGCTCTCCATTGCCCGGCAGCCGCCTCTCTCTCTCAGAGCTCTCCATTGCCCGGCAGCCGCCTCTCTCTCAGAGCTCTCCATTGCCCGGCAGCCGCCTCTCTCTCAGAGCTCTCCATTGCCCGGCAGCCGCCTCTCTCTCAGAGCTCTCCATTGCCCGGCAGCCGCCTCTCTCTCAGAGCTCTCCATTGCCCGGCAGCCGCCTCTCTCCCTCAGCTCTCCATTGCCCGGCACCCGCCTCTCCCTCTCAGCTCTCCATTGCCCGGCAGCCGCCTCTCCCTCACAGCTCTCCATTGCCCGGCAGCCGCCTCTCCCTCTCAGCTCTCCATTGCCCGGCAGCCGCCTCTCCCTCTCAGCTCTCCATTGCCCGGCAGCCGCCTCTCCCTCTCAGCTCTCCATTGCCCGGCAGCCGCCTCTCCCTCTCAGCTCTCCATTGCCCGGCAGCCGCCTCTCCCTCTCAGCTCTCCATTGCCCGGCAGCCGCCTCTCCCTCTCAGCTCTCCATTGCCCGGCAGCCGCCTCTCCCTCTCAGCTCTCCATTGCCCGGCAGCCGCCTCTCCCTCTCAGCTCTCCATTGCCCGGCAGCCGCCTCTCCCTCTCAGCTCTCCATTGCCCGGCAGCCGCCTCTCCCTCTCAGCTCTCCATTGCCCGGCAGCCGCCTCCCCCTCTCAGCTCTCCATTAATCAGCTGCCCGTCTTTCTCCCTCATCTCTCCATTACCTGGCCGCAGCCTCCAGCCTGCCCTTAGCTGTCCATGAGCTCGCAACCGCACTGTCAGCCTCCCGCTCTCAGCTCTCCATTACCCACCTGCCTGCTTCCCTCCCTCAGCTCTCCATGAGCTGTCCGCCTACCTCAGTCCTCTGTGAGCCGACTGCCCGCCTCTGAGGCAGCCGGTCACCTCGAGGGCTAAACAGGCTCAGAAATCCCTCGCGCCTGGGATTTGTCGAGCCCTGGCTTAAGTGACAAAGTGGTTATTTTCTTTATTTTCTGGGAATGCTGTTCATGTTCTACATTTCAATATACATACAGAAGTACTGTAAAATTTGTAGATGCATCATCACTAATGCCTTAGAGCCATGGATGAAGATTTGCTTCATTCAAGATTTCTGTTCATCTAACCATCTTTTTCATATTCCTTCACTCTAAGGGAAGCAATAGCCTTGGGGAGCACAGATTTTACAGAGAATGACATTGAAAAAATAGTAGAGGAGCTTGGAAAAGAATTCAAAGGGAATGCCTATCATCTCATGCACAAAAACTGCAACCACTTCTCATCTGCTTTGTCAGAGGTAAACAAACACTGATAGGCTTTTTTTTTTCTCTTCTCCAAATCAAGTAATGCACAGTTGTTCAGAAATGTACAATATAAGTTTTGAGCGGGCTATAATCAATATTTGCAAACCATTAATGAGCTATTGCTCAATGACAGCTAGAGTCCCTGTGGGTCCTTTCACGTATAGGCTAGATAATGACTGTTTTGCTTAGAATGCCCCATACCTTCCACCATAACCAATGATGATGTACTAATTAAACCACCAAACCTATAAACTGAAATATGGGATTGATCATAAACCAATTATCACCCCTGCTATTTAATGAGTATATGTGTGCTAAAGTATCTGAAGTGTGGCATATTTATGGGGAGTTTGTTTTTGGTTATTAAACTAGAAAGATGTCTACATACAGTGAGGGGGGGAAAGTATTTGATCCCCTGCTGATTTTTAACATTTGACCACTGACAAAGAAATGGTCAGTCTATAATTTTAATGGTAGGTTTATTTTAACAGTGAGAGACAGAATAACAAAAAAATCCAGAAAAACACATGTCAAAAAATTAATCAATTGATTTGCAGGAGTGAAATAAGTATTTGATCCCCTATCAATCAGCAATATTTCTGGGTCCCAGGTGTCTTTTTTATACAGGTAACAAGCTGAGATTAGGAGCACTCTTTTAAAGGGAGTGCTCCTAATCTCAGCTTGTTATCTGTGTAAAAGACACCTGTCCCCAGACGCAATCAATCAGATTCCAAACTCTCCACCATGGCCAAGACCAAAGATGACAGGGACAAGATTGTAGAGCTATACAAGGCTGGAATGGGCTACAATACCATTGCCAAGCAGCTTGGTGAGAAGGTGACCACAGTTGGTGTGATTATTCGCAAATGGAAGAAACACAAAATAACGGTCCGTCTCGCTCGGTCTGGTGCTTCATGCAAGATCTCACTTCGTGGAGTTTCAATGATCATAAGAACGGTGAGGAATCCGCTCAGAACTACACTGGAGGATCTTGTTAATGATCTCAAGGCAGCTGAGACCATAGTCACCAAGAAAACAATTGGACAAACATTATGCTGTGAAGTCCTGAAATTCTGCAGCGCCCGCAAGATCCCCCTGCTCAAGAAAGCACATGTACAGGCAGGTCTGAAGTTTACGAATGAACATCTGAATGATTTAGAGAACTGGGTGAAACGGTCATGGTCAGTTGAAACCAAAATCAAGCTCTTTGGCCTCAACTCGCTGTTTTTGGAGGGGGAGGAATGCTGCCTATGACCCAAGAACACCACCCCCACAGTCAAACATGGAGGTGGAAACATTATGCTTTGGGGGTGTTTTTCTGCTAAGGGGACAGGACAACTGCACCACATCAAAGTTACGATGGATGGGGCCATGTACCATCAAATCTTGGGTGAGAACTTCCTTCCCTCAGCCAGGGCATTGAAAATGGGTCGTGGGTGGGTATTCCAGCATGACAATAACCCAAAACACACATCCAAGGCAACAAAGGAGTGGCTCAAGAAGAAGCACATTAAGGTGCTGGAGTGGCATAGCTAGCCTCCATACTTTAATCCCATAGAAAAGCTGTGGAGGGAGCTGAAGGTTCGAGTTGCCAAACGTCCGCCTCGAAACCTTAATGACTTGGAGAGGATTTGCAAAGAGGAGTGGGACAAAATCCCTCCTGAGATGTATGCAAACCTGGTGGCCAACTACAAGAAAAGTCTCACCTCTGTGATTGCCAACAAGGGTTTTGCCACCAAGTAAGTCGAAGGGGTCAAATACTTATTTCACTCATTGATGTGCAAATCAATTTATAACTTTTTTGACATGCATTTTCCTTTTTTTTTTTTTTTTGTGTTCTCTCTCACTGTTAAAATACATATACCATTAAAATTATAGACTGATCATTTCTTTGTCAGTGGGCAAACGTTCAAAATCAGCAGGGGATCAAATACTTTTTTTTTTTTTTTTTTTTTCTCACTGTATGTAACTTTTAAAAGTGACATCTGGCTTTTTATTCTCAGTACACATATGCTTACTTTTATTTTTATTTTTTTATTATTGTACAGATCCTATGTGGAAAAGAGATCCCTCGTTGGGTAAACAGGTTGGCATACTTCAGTTCCTGCGTACCTTTTCTACAAAGTTGCCTACCTAAAGAATGGTTGACACCTGCAGCCCTTCAGTCCAGTGTCAGTCAGGAGTTGCAGGAAGAACTGGAGGAGGCAGAGGATGCAGCAGCCTCTGCCAGTGCATCCACATCAGCAATGCCAAGACCAGGGCGGCACACCAAACTATAGATTTTCTTTTTTTCCTTTGGTTCACAGGGGACGTTAGTATAAAGAATTGTTTTTGCAATTGTATTAAAACTGACCTCCAGCAACTGACACTTGTATCCAAAAGTGAAATACACTCCTCTCCCCACCATGTTTGGATTTGAGAACATCTATTCTTTTGCAGTCTTTTCAGCTCAGGATCATATTTGTATTCAAGAAAATTAACATGATGAGACAAAAGATACAAAAGCCACTTTGTCATATACTTTTACCAACCCAAATATTCTTTTGAAAATTTCTTCATCACTGTCTTGCATACATTTATATACATTTCGTAAATTTTTCTTTTTTTTTCTTTTCTTCACAATGCAGTGTTTTCAATTGTTGCTGTTTACACCTCTTGTGACGAATCCTGCCGCTGGCAAAGATTGAAGGGAAATCCATTTTGTTTTTTTCACTGCTGATTTTATATTCATTTTACCTCAATTTTACTACTAGGTAATGTTTCAGAAAAAAAAAAAAATCTTCATCCAATAGCACCCTGACAATGCAACATCATCTCCACTTAAGTGTGTGTTAATATTTTTGGCACAAGGACTTGGATTAGTATTTGATTGGTATTCTTCTGGGAAATTCCTTTACAACAGTAGTACGTCCACTCAACTGCAGAATAGAAGATGATGTGCCTGTTGTCAAGGGAAGAGGAAATGATGCAGTGCACTTTTAACGGTTTACATCTTGCTTCGTATTGCCACCCAGCATTGGTCACCGATTCATGAATACCATTTTTACACACAAAAAATACAATGCAATCGCTCCACACTTGTAAAGCAAGATATTGATAGTAACCAAATTTACTAGGTAGAAAAATCCCTTGTTGATCTGACAGATTTGTTCTCATTTTGTTGTTTTTCATATTGTTGAAAGTTTGTGTTAATTTGCCCCTGTTGAGGTTAGACATCAGACTTTGCTTTACTACATCTTCAAAGGTTTGTTTACGTGTAGGTTGAGATTTGTCATATGTTTGAGCATCTGGCTCTCTGATGTGGCTCATCAGAGCTGCAACATAAAATATTAAGTGCCCACCTTTGTCCAATTAATCTGTGTGCTTTATTTTTGCATCATAGACAAATGTTTTTGCTCCACTTTTTGGTAATTGTTTGTTAGTCATATTATTGTACTATTTATTACCACTAGATCAGGGATTTTGAAAACTTCCTGTCTCTGACTTACTATATTTGTAATGAAGTATCCTTACATTTTGCAAACATCACCTTGTCTGACATGAGATGATTAATAACCAGTCTGTTGGCAAAAGTCATTTATGGTCTTACTGACATTTATAAACGTGTATTCTATGATCGTTTTGAAACTTAATTTTGTTTGTTTTTTGTTTTTCTTTCTTTCTTTAATTTTTTTTTTTTTTAAATTACATATCCTTTTTGGGTTTTTTTAACTCTGTTAACCTTTTCTTTGTTATATTGTGACATTATGTAACTTGGGTAAGTGTCAAACTCCTTTCACCATAGAGCAGCACACTGTAGGAATTATGTTTCTTAGACTGCCCAAGAAATATATTTAAAAAACATAGGTGCTGAATGCTTAGATTGGTCCACATTTAATATCTCAGGTTGAAAATACACTAGAGGAGAAGGGCCGGCGCTTCCGTTAAGCAAATAATGCGTTCGCCTGGGGCTCCGACCTGTAGGGGGTGCCCACTGAGAGCTTCCCTGGTTAGCTGCCCTGCTGCTGTCTGGGGCTGGTGTACTAGGTGAGCGGCTCCTTAGCCATCCACTAGTGCAGCCTTCCGGCCACTGGGCTCCTCTCTGCTGCTTACCTGCTCAGGGACCGTGGTTTACTGTAACCCCAGCACTGGAGCAGAGCACACTGCAGGCAAGGGAAGCCTGGACCTGCTGCCTCCTGCCTGTGATCACCGGAAGCACGGTGATGGGAGCAGGAAGCAGCCTGTACTTGGAGTGCATGGCTTTCCTGCTCCCACTGTAGAAAGAAGAGCAACTCCCCACAGGCTGGATCTCCTCTCCACAGCACTTTGGTGTGGCCCACCTGGAGACTTAGAGGGACTGTTTATTGTGTACATGATTGTAAATTGGGGTGTGTGTGTGTAAATAAAGTGTGACTTTATGTAAAGTGGTGTGACACTGTGTGTGTTAGTGTGCAAATGACATTTTGTTAGTGAGTGTGCAAGTTACACTAAATGCCAGTGAGTGTTTGTGTTTTTTGTGTGTGTGTGTGTGTCCATGTAAAGAAATCCTTATATATTTATGATATACTAATATAATTAAATATTAAGCAAAATATTTCTCACTGTGAGTCTACTTTTACTTAAAGGGACACTGTAGGCACCCAGACCACTTCAGCTCACTGAAGTGGTCTGGGTGCAGTGTCGCAGGTCCTTTAACCTTGCAACGGTAATTATTGCAGTTTTTTAAGAAACTGCAATAATTACCTTTCAAGGTTAACTCCACCTCTAGTGGCTGTCTACCAGACTGCTACTACAGGGACTTCTTAGCTGATGGATGTCCTCACAGTATGCATGGGGACATCCAGCGTAATCTAGAACACCATAGGAAAGTATTGTATAATGCTTTCCTATGGGGAAATCCTAATGCGAGCGTGGCCATTGCCTCGCATGTGCATTAGGTCTCCCTGCAGGCTGACCTTAGCGGGAGATGAGCGAAGGCGAGCTGGAGCCAGTCCCAGGTAAGTGACAGAAGGGGTTTTTATCACCACCTGCACCACGGAGAAAGGGGGGCCTTGGCAGAGGTTGAAGTTTGTTTTCCTGGTACTATTATTTCCCTTTAATGTGTCTTTCTCTGCAGTTCAGTGAATAAAACTCTGAGGGAATGTAGTTGCATTCATGAGGGGATGGCAAAATGGATTGTTGCCTAGGGCGGCAAGAATCCTTGCACCGGCCCTGACTAGGGGAGACATATCAAAATGTGCACAAGTGTTTTGACTTCTTTATTATATAGTAAAGTATGCTGCTCCACAAGTATGTACTAGGAATACTGTGAGAATGTAATTCTGTGATTATTCTGTCTCTCTTCTATGCTAAAGTAAAAGTGGTGTAAGACAACACTAGCAAATAGAATATTTTTTCCAGAGCTAAAAAGGCATAAATGTTGGTAAAGAGAACCTGTTATACATGAATAAACACAAACAAAAGAGAGGGTGCAAAACAAACAGTTTGTCGAAGATCAAATTCTTCAATTGACTCTAGTAACTGGCAAGTGAAAATATTTGCCCTGGTGTGTGGTGTGGACTTTTAAAGTCCTGCAGTGGCTAGTGACGCAAAACGTGAAATGCTATGTAACATTACAACTGATAATACTCTTTTTTTGCAAAGTTTAGTGTACATTGATACATTTCCTCCTATGTTTACATGTGAGATCTGTATCTGCTAGACATGTTTAGATGAGAGGGGGTTTGAATGTCTAGCATTTGTGTTTGGTTTTTATTCATTATATTCTCAGTATTAAAGTGTATGAATCCGAATGGGGAAACTGTACAACTCTGACTTAGGCATTCAAAAAAAGCAAAGGAGCAAATCAGAGTACATAGCAAGTTAAAAAGGTTATTGTATCGGTTTCATGTTTTTCTTTTAATCAGTTCTTGGTTTTCATAACCCTGTACAGAGAAGTCTGGTTCTTAAAGATGCTGTGTTCGTATGTAATGTCCTGCTCTTGTGAAATGAGTGAGACATTCTATTTTTGTACAGGATTCTTGAACTGGTATGCTTTATATAGGATATCAAGGGAATAATTTTGTTCTTCATATGGGAATCTTATTTATCCTTCTACGGCTGAATTCTTCTAGTAAAGCATTGATTGTCCTCACAGAATTAGTTTCTGAACTTGGCCAACATGTAAAGATTTTTAAACTATTGTATAAGCTAATCCTTCATTAAATTTCAAACTTACTGTGAGTTATTGACACAGGATATCCTCTTTGGCCTTTAGATTTCCTATATTTCCTGTTAATTGGAAAGAAAGTAAAAAGTTTCAGTTTAAAAATATTTTCACCAGAGACATGAAAAGCTTTTTATTTCAACCCTTCCTTTCTTTCCGTCTCGCACAATTAAATCCGTTCCAGGTTTTATTTTACAGAATTCGTCAAAAGTCAGAGATACTTGTAAGAAGCTTAATGTTAGAATACTTTTATTTATTTTTTTAAATTACTCTGCACCTACACCACTTTTAAAGTTGCCATTGTGAATGTATTATTTCAAGTAATTAACTGTATTTGTCTCTCCTGACTTTTAAATGAAAACAATAGCATTCTCATGCAACTGACCCTAGTTCTATACACATACATGATGCACTTTTTCCTGTTTTGCCATAAAACATTTTTTTACTTGCCTTCTTCCACCACCAAGGCTTAATCTGTGCGGTTCAACCTCTCAGACGTCATGCAGGAGGCTTCCCTCATAGGAAAAGTACTGTATTCACTGCTCTCCTATGGGGAAACCACGTCCCATGACAGCGTTTTACTCTGTCAGTGGCTCAGAAGTGTCTCTAGTGGCTGTCAGGAAGATGTAAACATTCATTGAAGTGATCTTGGTGACACTTGTATCCCTTTAATTCACCCTGTGTATTTACTTACCTTTCTATATGTGACCCATCACTATATGTGCCTTCAAACCTTGTTGTGTAATACAAGCGCTCTTCCTCCTTCCACCCCACCAATTCTGTTAAAGGAACACTTTTTAGTGTTTGGGATACAAAGCTATCTTTCTAACACTACATTGTCCCTGTGCCCTGCAATGAAAGGGTTAAAAAATAACCTTAACCACTTACCTGTTTGCAGTGCCAAGGGTCCTTTTGCACAGCGTGAGGATGTCCAGCATCGTATTATGGAGTTCAACTAATTGGAACTACATGAAGCACCTCTAGTGGCTGGTTGTGATGCAGCCACTTGAGACAATCTTAACTCTCCAATGTAAACGTTGCAGTTTTAGAGAAAAAGTAATGTTGTACTTTGCAGGGTTAAGGGAACAGGGAAACTGCATCCGATGAGTTTAATGAGATGAAGTGGTCTGCGTGCCTATAGTGTCCCTTTAAATACCTGCCCTGATTTGAGGAAAGAGACCTTTCTCTTGTAAAAAATAAATAAAAAAATACCATATCACTTACACTGCTATACCTAACCATTCCAATCTGACCACTTCAGTTTGTTTTTCCAGCTATGATCAATTATGCACTCTAGCGTCTTCCCCAGCTATGAAACGGGCAAGGACAGCTTCCCCCACACCCTTTAAACAGGGTTCTGTATGGAGATGTTCCTTGTACATATCCTGAGCAGGACATTTTACTCCTATTGTATTGCCCTATATTATAACTAGTATTTATATAGTGCCTCTCTCCCACTGGGACTCAAAGCGCTTTTCAGCACACGCTCTCGAAATTAACCAAATCTTATTGAAGTGTGGTAGAGGAATTTAGGCTCCCTGAAGAATCGAGAGATTGGTCTTAAATCTGAGTGGCACTATTCAAGCCTATAAAATGCGTTATGGTGGTATTTAAACCCTATTAGACTCAAACATGAATAAGCTTTCCTTCGATAAATGGTGTAAACTATGTGGTGAAACTGGCACATTCCTACACTTCTGGTGCTCCTGCCCCAAATAAAAACACTTTGGTTTGAGGTACCATCCCTCTTTTCTCAGGTGCTTGGGAAGCTGTTATCAAACTCATGGGTGCCTTTTTTTTTTTTTCTTGACTTCTTTACAAGATCAGAGAATAAATTGGCAGCAAAATTTTTACAAATGTGTCTTTCAATAAAGTCTCTTTTTTTTTCTCGGCAGAGATTTGCTTATCGCATTTAGTCTTTCCTCCGTTATTTCCATTCTTTATTTCTTGATTTCAAACTGCATTTTTCGGCCTTCTTTTTAAGTTTATTTCTTAACTTTTCCCCCTCCTTAATCTGCTCTTTTCCCATAAATGATCCATTAATAAACTGAGATATGGTATCACCAAGCAATGGCAATTTCTTTATGGGCATTACCAATATCCCTTGTTTTATTCCCATAACATGGTATCTTAGACCTTGTGGTTTCTTTCCTTTTTGTGTTACACACCTTCCCACTTTCGCCCAACTCATGTAGTCTAATATACTGTGGCCACTTATCCCATATGACAAAAACTACATACAGGGTCCTTCTATATAACTGTATTCCCTAATAAGTTTTTTTCCACTGTGCAATCTCTGATACACTTGTATTGATTGCGTTACCATTTTATTTTTTTCGGTTATCTTTTTATGCTCAAAAACATGCATTTAAATTGCAGTGGGGGGTGGGGGAGAATTACTCTTAAGCATCATCTACATCTGTAGAGTACAACCTTGGATACAGCAAGTCTCAGAAATCATATTCCCACAATTCTTCTAGTATTGCCAGCTTAACATGCAAATGATCAGAAAGGCATGTTTCAGACTTTATCATACATTTCTCCAGGCATTCAGTGCCTTGTTATGGATATGTGAATTCTCTGAATTACTGTGCACGAGGTGAATTTTTCCCCAAAATCCTACTTAAGATTGTAGATAATGTAGAACAGAAAATGTTGAATTTGCATAAAGAAATGGGACGTGGTCTTGCCACACTTTTATTTAGCCTATATTTTGACTATATGTGCCTTTTTTTGTAATTTTTTTTTTTTTGAAAATTCCTTTTTCCTCAAAATATGTGATCTAAGTTAAATCATAATGCAAATTATGTCCAGTTTATAGGCAATGAAATCCTAAATATTTTTTAACTTATTCTGTACAGAGTAAAAGAATACTTTTTTTTATTTAAAGGAACACTAATTTCAAAAAGTAAGATGCCCAGCCAGCAACCCAGCTTCAAATGAGACACATTATTTGTATTGTAGAATATGATAACGTTTTCTCTTGGCACTGCCTCTGTCCTTCTGCTTCTCTCAGAACAGGAAATCTCTGACAGGGGTGCTGCTGATTGGGCAAGAAGGTCAGCTGAAACCTCTAGCCAATCCATAGCTCCCAATTCACAAAAAGCTTGAGAAACGTACAGATTTTTCTCAAGCAGTTTTTTAGTAGAATGGTTTGTCTTCTTACCTGCAACTGCTGGCATCCACTTTCTGCCACTGTTGTAGCAAAGTTGGAAGCTCCTACTTAGATTCCATTTCCTGAGCTAGCCCATTGGTTGAGTGTGTCAGCTAAGCCCTGCACCACCTGGCTTCGCTCTATCAGACAGAACAAAACAGTTCTAAAAGCATGCTATAGAAGATGTTATGGTGCTTGGAGTTTTTGGTTCAAGGATAGGTACCCAGACCACTTCATTGCTAAGGAGGATTGGGTGCAGTTCCCCACTCCTTGTTAGTCCTGCAATGTAAATCCTTGCAGGTTTTTGAGAAACTACAATGATTGCATTGCAGGACTCCCGGCTGACTCTAGTGGCTGTCTGACAGCCACTCGGGGCACTTCCTGCTTACTAGGCGACTTAGTTGCCTAAATGATGCTGGATGTCAAACTCTGCATGAGGACAACCAGCATCTGTTAAATCCCCCACGGGAAAGCATTGAAGCAATGTTTTTCTATGGGGAGGGCATAATGTTGGTCAGTTTCCAACATTCAAAATTTTTTTATTAAAAATTCCATTGCAAGCATATAAGATATAAACCAAGTAATGACTACTTTTTCTTGACAAATTTTGAAAAAAAGTCAGCTTCCATCATCAAGTTTTTTTTGTCCGTTCTCACAGCCACCATTAACTGCAGCTGTGGGGAAACTGGCGTCTTATAGTGGAACCTCCATGTACTCACACATGCACGACACAAAGCAGTATATCACAGACAGGTCTGCCAGTGTTTGAAGTACCAGGTGTTGCAAATGTTAGCGTCAACTAAGATGGGGGACACAAAGAGCTTCAGGTAAAAATATTTAGAAGGTGGCAGAGGTGCTTTAAGTAAATAACACCAATAACGTTTAATGTTTTTCCTGATACATTTGCCTGACTAGAAGAAAAGAATCATTAGTAGATCTAATATTTCTGTATAACTAACTAAACCCTTCCATACTGTATACAGCTTTAACCTGTGGAATGCTGGCTAGGTACATGCACACTTCTATTGAACTCTGTTAAGCATTGCATGTGGGTTTATTTTATTTTTATTTTTTTTACATCTAGATCTATTAGATCGTATATGATGATTGTGGTGTTAAACACATTTTATTTTATTATGTGTACAATTTTTTTTCCACAATATTAGCACATTTATTAGCAGGTTTATTTTAATGTAAAAGCACTGCATTTTATTGTTTCCTGCAATAGAGGTTACTAAATGATTAGAACGCATTTAGTTATCCAATTATTTTGAAAATTAAGGAAGATGCTTTACTAACACAGCATTCAGACTTTTTTATTTATTTATTTATTGTCGTCAATTCATTGTTTGGCAAATGCATCACATTAGTTATATATTATTATTATTTTTTTAATTCTTTTTATATATATCTCCTTCCCGTGGCGCCTTGTTTAGTATCCTGAGTTATATATGTGCTAGTTGGACTTTAATGGGAAAAAAAAAAGTATTCTACATGGCTGTAGTATTTCAGTACAAGCTTGTCTTATTTGTGCCTCTATCAGCTGAGAATGCAGATTGATTGCTACTTGATTTTCTATTTCCCTCTGCTATAATGCCTTTGTGATTCACTGTTTCCTTGTAGCACCCACCCTTTTTGTTTGCCCAGCTATGTAATGAGCTGTACTGAATGTTAGAAAAGTCAACTGTAGGATATGTGTAAAAATTAATTGTGGTGCAAAGTTCTAAAAATGGAGCAGTTACCAAGGAAACAATTTTTCTTGTTTGCTTTCCTCTACTGCCTAAGTATTGTATTTTTTCCCTTCCCATCTGCATCTTGATACATCCTCCTGAAAATAGTTTACAGTGAACCTCTCAAAGCAAGATTCTTAGGCAGATATTCCTAAATTTGCCTCCTCTTTAATCAGTTATTTTGATCAGTGAATGAGCGTTTGAGCACAGTTTAATTGTAACTGCCCTGGTCTTGAGTGGTGGATGTACTGTAGTTATTGGTGCGTGATGACCGTCACTGTGTTTTCAGACTGTGCAGATTTATTTTCCCTGTTGAGGGTTTTTTTTTTTTTTTATTAAATCAGCACAAATGGAAATGTACTTAAAGGTACACTATAGACACCCAGACCACTTCAGCCCATTGAAATGGTCTGGGTGCCAACTCCCATCACCCTTAACCCTGCAAGTGTAATTATTGCAGTTATTATAAACTGCAATAATCACCTTGCAGGGTTATCTTCCAGCTTAAGACTTCATGCTTCTTTGGTTGTCTAAACGCAGCTGGACGTCCTCACGCTCTGCATGACGACCTCCAGCATCGCCTCAATCCCCATAGAAAAGCAGTTATTAATGCTTTCCTATGGGGAGGTCTAATCCGTGCATGTGCATTAAGTCTCCCCTATCGGCATGGGTGGGGCCTGACCCATCGCTAAGGGACATTGGTGCTGGATTCAGGTAAGTGACTGAAGGGGTTTTAACCCCTTAAGCGAGGTGGGATGGGGGGCGGGAGGGAGCGGGGCACTCAAAGGGATTCTCTAGTGCCAGGAAAACAATTCCACACCAGAAATGGTCCAACACCGATAATATTCAGTGTTTCTCACCTTGTTTTTCTTTTAGTTATAAAATTCAGTGAAGTGACGGAGTAAATAATTACTCTACCTGTCTCGGTAAACTATCCATTTTTGTTACAGGGTAGAAGATTTAAGCTAACTTCGCCTCTTGATTACAAATAGTCAGATAATTTACCTACAATAATAAAATGTGCTGCCAAATTCAATCTCCTACCCACATTCAATAGCAAACCAAACAAAATGTATTTTAGTTTAAATAAAACGCTAAAATATATTTTTATTTTTAGAATTAAAGTTTGATTGTGTTCCTTGTCGATTTATATTGTGGCCCCACCCCAATTATTTAAGAAAACCAAATGGCTTTAATACATCACTAAGACACTCTCCGCTGCCTAATCTACCTACTGTGATTAGCGTCAACTGTGAGAAGCAGAACAAACTTTCAACTTGTACGTATTACTAATCTCCATCCACCAGTCCAATGTTTCTCTAGAAATACCACAAAGTCAATGCTTCTCTGTGAGCATTAGCCTTGTTCAACGTCATCATGCAGTTTTTCAAAAGTCGAAGGATGTGAAGATAAAAGCTAATCTAGTCGCTGTCGGGTTTTCTGCATAATATAAATATTGAAGTGAGTCTTACAGAGAAGGCGCCACATTAATGCACCAAATCCTACCTCCACCCATCCCTCAATGCTCCCTAGTTGAAGGTGAGGGGGAGGTCTTATACTTAACTTTTCTCCCTCGAATGCCGGTCTGCCCGCTGCCGCTGCACCTCAATAGAGGGGTTTTGGTGTATAGATCATGCCACCGTTAATAACTAATTTCAATGCCGTTTATGAGTTAATTCACTTTGTTTATGCAGTCCTAGTCACTACCATCTGCATGTGACCTATACAATCTCTCTATGCAATAAAGGAAGTTTAAATATTGTATCTCTTTACAGGAAAGGTGTAGTGTGTTTAATTTATGTTTTCTTATCTCCTGCTGTGTTAAAAGCCTGCAGGAGCCTCCTGTGTGTAATTCAATTTCAATTAACAGAGCAGGTGACAAGAAGTTCTAAAGTAGACACATTGCCCTGTGAGAGCTGATTGAACATCAAACCATTTTGTTTTCATGCAGGCTGGTTGAGTCACAGGTAGGAGAGGTGTGGCTAGAGCTGCATGGAAACAAAAGTGATTTAACTCTTAAATGGCAGAGAATTGAGTGGGACACTGCATGGACATGATCTATACACCAAAACTGCTTCATAAAGCTTAAGTTGTTTTAGTGCTTAGAGTATCTCTTTAACTAAGCCAGTCTGCTTATGAATTAATTATCCCAGAGGTCTGACATTCTCACAATTCTGTAATGAGATATGATTGTTTTCATTCAATGATCAGTATATTAAATCTATGAAAATTAATATATTCTGCTGCAAGAGCCAACACTTGTCATTATCAGATCACTTATTTAGCTTGAATGCTGTTGACACATTCCTCAGATCAGCTGAAATGATGTGATGTGTTTATATTTAAAGTTATATTTTATTTTCTAAAAATGCTAAAGGATTTCTAATGACTGGATATAAATAGTATTTAAGCAAAATAGCTCTGAGAAAAATAAAAAAGGGCATATAGAACAGGTGTGTATTTTATCAGGAAATTAAGGTAAACACTGCAGGAGGGGAGAGGCAGGCTTTTGAAAGCTAAACTGTATGCTAATTTGGTGTAAATCACCAACATCCAAACAGAATAAGTTTGGATGAAGCATTATCCAGAAAACACACTATAAACCATATACAGCCTATAGCTTGCTGCTAAATATAAACTTGGTGCACCATAAAAGGGGAAAAAACGTGTTTTCTGTAAGTCTAGATTTCAACTTCTTATTGATGCTATATTTTGGAAAGTGAATTTAAATTGAAGCATTGGTACTTGTTAAAACAGCATTTTGCTACATTTTCAAGTATTGAGGTTTCCAGAATCCTTTTAAATTAGCATATCAAAGAATTTTCCAACTACTGTGGAAGTTTAATGATACAGTACTGGTAAAAGTGGGCACAGCTTCAAATGTAACAAGATTTGGGAAAACACATTTTCTCTGTAATTCATTCTTACTATGTGTTTCAAATGATAATTGTGTATGGCTGTAAAAGGAATATTCAGAGTGGCTTTGCCAAGAAAATACAGATAGAAGATATTGTTCAGTGTTTGACAGGTGACCATAATTGCATGCGCAAACCTTACTTTTATCCACCTCATAAAATCCATTAAAAAAAAAAAAATTTGATCATTCAATTTTATTTAACTCATTCTTTTTAAATGCAAGATGGAGGAGGGTTCCATTTTGTCACAGACCCAGGTTGTACTCTGATGCTTGTGTAATACTTTTTTGCCTTTAACGAAGAGTGATGAATTATACAATAGTGGATAATACGTACTTACTGCCTTCTGACTATAAGACAATCTAATGTGTTAATTTCTATTTGCCTTGCAGCTGGTTAATTATTGTTTAATATCAGAGGAAGACAGATTTAACAGGCACAATACTAATTCATGATACTTGATGTGGGAAAATTGGCTGACTTAATTGTACTCTAATTCAAAGAAACAATCTATTGTGCTGACAATTTTTAAAGTCCATTTTATGGTCATGTTTTTATCTGGTTTAATGATAAAATGACTGCTGCTGGTCCATTTTGGGTTTGTAGCTCTATATAAAAGCAGAAACCTACATGCTAGAGTGGAGAAGCCATAACAGACTGCCGTGCTTATTAAGAAACTGCTTCAGGGTTTAAAACAATATGGAGGATCTTTCACAATCACAAATGACCACTTTCACCCTAGTTTGATTTACTGTGTATATGTATTATACATACAAAAAACCAACCAAAAACTATAGCACTCCCCTTAGTAGTCAAATAGGACAACCTTTTTAATGTCTTGGTTCATCCACATGGTAAATAGAAGCATAAACTATAATGGTGGCAGTCATAGGTCTTCAAACACCATGACCTTTAGATATGGCAAAGTGTAATACAGAAAACAAAAACCTAATTTTCTTTGTGTGTTCTATATCGCACTTTAATACATTAAAATATTCACAGAATTACATTTCCAATGAGTGCGACCATTGTTTATGCCTATATTCAGTGTAGGAAAGCACCAAGGCACTAAAGCTGTGCAAACATAAGTGTGTGTGTGTGTGTGTGTGTAAGCACAGCTTTAGTGTTTTTTTTTTTTTTTAACTAAAACAATCTTTACATTCAATGCAACTGCTAAAATCCATATGGTTGGAAATCAAAGGATGGGGAAATCAAAAAGTTTGTATTATGTTATTGGCAGATAACCCTGCAATGTTTTGCTATGCAGTTATGGTACAAGGGGCTAAGGATTATTTTGACATTTGTAAATTATATATATATTTATCAAGTCTTGTTGGTTGTTTATCTGTCAGACAACGGGTTTTTGAATCAAAAAGCCCAAAGCAATGCAAACTACAATGTTTACAAGATATCCCACTATATACTAGCAAAACTCAATGCATGGGATGTAGTTTGGAAAATTTTAAAACTGAAACTGTGTATTGTTTTTAACTGACATGAAGTGGATTTAATCGTAAGTGTTTAGTGTTTTGTTTTTTTCTCCGGTTCATTTTTACAGTATGTTTTGTACTGTATTTACACCTGTTCACCACTTTTCATGGTTTCATAGTTAAATAGACCATGTGCTGTTTTTCCTTTTAAATAGAATCATACTACTTTTTGATAACTCCGTGCAGATACACAGCCTTCAACTGTGGGCTCTTTTTCCAACAGTAGAGAAAATAAAACTGTATTTTTTTAAATAAAAATAAAATATTGTGTTGGTTTAAAAAACAAAAAAATATTTTCTGTCTTTCTTTATGGATTTTATATTTAAGTGTATTGTCTCTTTGTACATTTAATAATTGTTTAATGTAATGCAGACTGATCTTGCTTGAAAAGTCATGAGGTTGCATTAATTTAATGAACAAAAAAATATTTTCTCAGTTTAAATGAATTTATTGAGTAGAAATTCTGTTTTCTAGCATTTTACACAGTTGTAAAGAGGGTGTTCATTCGGGGTTGTTAAATCCTAGAAGTTAATCATAGAAGTGCTCTTAAGGTGGATTTATCCCTTCTGTTTTGCAAATTTTAAATAAATTGTACAAATAAATTAGTGTTAGTAAAGGTGTAATTTTAGCTCAAAGGGACATTATAGGCACCAAAACAACTTTTAGCTTAACAAAGTAGTTTTGGTGAATAGATAATGCCCCTGAAAACTCACTGATCAGTTCTCTGCCATTTGAGTTAAATGACTTTTATTTTTGTGTAAGCAGCCCAAGCCACACTTACCATGGCTGTGACTGACACAGCCTGCATGAAAAAAAAAGGCTTCATTTTTTTTCAGATGCCAACTTACTTTAGAAAAAGGAAGATATCTCTTGCTCTGTAAATTGAACTCTAATCTCAAAACAGGTGGCGCCTGCAAGTTCTAGCAAGATGTAAACAGTGGATGATGGGCACAGCAGTGTGAAACCGGACAGCCCTGCCAGTCCATACCGAGTGGGCTCCAGCCCCTAAATAAAAATTTAAAAAAGTGTTTAGTTGCACCTCTCTGAACTCCCTTCCCTCCCAGCTCTCTTCCTCCCCCCATCCCCACAGACACACACTACATGCATACACTGCACCCCTCATAAATATTGGATTCCTTATAGGCACACTGCACCACCCACAGACCGTTCGTTCATTCCTGACACACACACTACATACCTGAAATGCACAATACATCCCATATGTGCACTGTAGATCCCTTACAGACACACACTGCACAACCTACACACACCATACATTCCATATACACACTATGGATTCCTTCAGAAACACACTAGAACCTCTACAGACATACACTGCACCACCTACACACACACACACACGTACACACACAACATCCCTGAAACACCAACAGCTCACTCTACACATATGCAATACCACAATTAGCCACCAAATCCATGCACAGTACTCCCTTAGCCTTTTTGTCCTCTGGTAAACCACTTATGGAGACACCATAGACAAGTCACAAGCAAACACAGAATCTTTTTCCCCATGCAAGAGCTCGTTAGCAGAGCTCTGCGCATGGGCTTTCCTGGAAAAGTAATGAACTAACATGCTCACTTTGGGGAGCTTGTCATTGGTGATGACACAACACACCCCCTCTCTGGCTCCACTCCCTAAAATTCCTGGTCAGAATCTTGTTCTCAGTCCTGCCCTGTTGAAGGAGATAATAATGAATGACTGGCTGTATAAACAGAGTGATTTAACTACTAAATGACAAAGAAATTGAGCATTGGGATTTCAGGGGTATGCTCTATACACCAAAACTGCTTTTTGTAATCATTGCTGTGTGTTTTTTTTTGTTTTTTTTTATGCTTTATTGATTATATGTTGGACCATCTGACTAAGGTCTCGTTACACGTGATTTCCCTTAGTATTTTGGATATTTTTTCGATCTAGTGCTGTACTAATATATCCAGTTTGCAGTAGAATGGGTTAATAGCAGAGTTGATTGATTATACAGTATCTCCCAGTAGACCCCTCACATTTATGTAAATAATCTTTTCATGTGACAACATTGAAGAAATAACACTCTGCTACAATGTATAGTAGTAAGTGTACAGCCTGTAAAACAGTGTAAATTTGCTGTCCCGTCAAAATAACTCTACACACTCACTTTTGTTGCCGACGGTTTATACATTAATGGCTGTGTGAGTTATTTTGAGGGGACAGCAAACTTACACTGTTATACAGGCTGTACACTTACTACTTACATTGTAGCAGAGTGTCATTTCTTCAGTGTTATAGGAAAAGATATAATAAAATTACAAAAATGAGAGGGATGTACTCACTTGTGAGATACTGTATATACCCAAAGTCAGAACAAGATGTGAGCCTCTGATGAACTGAAAGAACAGTCATGAAACTCGTAAGGCTGTTCACATCTCACTGTGGACTGGAAAATGGAGAGTAGCTGCAGTGTAATGCAAGAGCGGTGCCACAGTGGAACGCACGCAGTGCTTTTGGTTAAAGATAGTCATCATTTATCTTGGACTCCCACCAAACCAGATGAAGGAGGAATGAGGAACTGCCAGCTCACGCCAACTTGGTTTGAACTCTTATTTTCCTTATTACATGCTTCCTACTCAGGTAGCTTTTGGAAGGTGCTTTTTTTTTTTTTTTTTTTTTTTTTTTTTTTTTTTTTTTTTTTTTTTTTTAGTGTATGTGTTAATAAAGGGTCACAGAGAGCACTACCTCTGTGCTTTAATTTTCCCTTTTAGATTGATGACACACTGATTTGTTAGGACCTGTTATAGTAGTCCAGGGATTATTTTTTTTTTAGGAAGAACTGTGTACCAACCTTTCTTATATTCATATTTGAGGTACTATAATATTTCACATCAGATTTTGGAGTGCGAAATCAGATTTTGGGCCCCGGTGCAAAAATTGATCCGTGGCGCCCCCCCGCCTCCCCTCTGCACTTACTCTGCACGGGCCGGGGCCACAACACATGGCGGCGGGCACCTGGTTGCAGGGCTGCAACCGCGTTATGTACACCAGTGCATGGAGATGCGCACACACACTTAAAGGACCACTACAGACACCCAGATCACATCAGCTCAATGAAGTGGTCTGGGTGTCAGGTCCCTCTAGTTTTAACCCTGCAGCTGAAAACATAGCAGTTTCAAAGAAACTGCTATGTTTCACTGAGGGTTAATCCAGCCTCTAGTGGCTGTCTCATTGACAGCTGCTAGAGGAGCTTCTGCAATTCTAAGACACTGAACGTCCATAGGAAAGCAGTGAGTAATGCTTTCCTATGGGCGGTTTGAATGCGCGAGCGAGAGGCGGAGGGATCCCCAGCACCAAGGGAGTCCGGCGCTGGAGAAAGGTAAGTGCTGAAGACACAAACACACACACACACACACACACTCTCATGAACAGACATACACATTTACTGACAGACACACTCAGCGACAGACATATATACACACTCACTAACAGACATCAAACAGACTCACTAGCAGACACACTAACACACACACGTTTTTTTATTTAAATTTAATCCCCCAGCATCCTTACCTTTTGGAGTGATGAGGGGATTCCCTGGGGTCCAGTGGTGCTGCTGGGCTCCTGGGCGGCCGGTCACCGGGCGGGCAGGCAGGCAGGCCGAGGCGCGAGGGAGCACTCCCCAGGACACAAACCTAGTGGGAAATATACAAAACTGCTAAAACTCTGACCTGTCTGCTGATGGAGCAGCAAAGAAAGAAGAGGAGCTTAGGTCACTGTGGATGTTATACTCCGTACTGCTGTTTGATTAATTCTTGTTTCTGTGGGGTTTTTTTTTTTTTTTCTTTGCTGCTATGGAGTTAGTAAAGAGAGTGTATGCAAAATAGGAACCCCCCTGTCAAAATTTATCAGTAATATGACAACTCTATGTACTCTATATTTAAATAACCACCACAGGCACTCAGACCGCTTTAGCTCAATGAAGTGGTCTGGGTGCCAGGTCTATCTAGGGCTAACCCGGTCTGCTGTAAACATAGTTTCAGAGAAACTACTATGTTTACATATGGATTAATACAGGCGCATTGACAGCCACTAGAGGCGCTTTCGCGCTTCTCACTGTGATTTTCACAGTGAGAAGACGCCAGCGTCCATAGGAAAGCATTGAGAATGCTTTCCTATGGACTGACTGCACGCGCAGCTCTTGCTGCGCATGCGCATTCAGCCGATGACGTCAGAAGGAAGAGGAGAGTCCTCAGCGCTGAGGGAGCCCAGCGCTGGAGAAAGGTAAGATTTTACCCCTTCCTCCCACTTCAGCCCAGCAGGAGGGGGGGGGACCTAGTGACACTACAGTGCCAGGAAAATGAGTTTGTTTTCCTGGCACTATAGTGGTCCTTTAAGCCAATGTTCTACTCTAGAACAAACATTTTCATCTAGACCAATTTATTTTAATTTGTAAAATCCAAGTAGATCGCATCCACTGCAACACCATTATGTATACATAGTTACATATAAAGGATAAATGGAATACTAAAATATCCAAAATGAGAAATGGAAAAGGAGAGAGGAAAAACAAAAGGAGATAGAGATTATATATATCGAAGAGGCAAAAGCACCCCTGACAGAATAAGCACCAAATACACCTGCCTAGCCCAACACTCATTTCAACCAACGAGACAACGTTGAGCTCGCCACCGTAGCAGAAGGATAGGAAAAACTGAGAGACTAAATAATGCGGTCTTGTACAATCCTCATATTCGCGCACAGGGTAGGTGCAAGGATTTTTGCCGCCCTAGGCAAACAAAACAAAAAATGCCCCCTCCATATCACAATACCCCACCCATATGAACTGCCAAATGAGCCAATGCCAGTGCTGCACACAGTGTTTTTTCTATGAAAGGGCAGTGTGTTTACATTAAAAAGCTTGCAGGGACAGGCTATAGACACAAGAACCACTACATCAAGCTGTAGAGGGTTCTGGTGACTATAGTGTCCCTTTAATGTGAGGTAAATTAGGGATTACTGCCACTAATAATATACTGGATTGCCTACTTACCACCAGATGAGGACAAGAGGATGATGATGGGGTGTATGTGTGTAGGGGATGTGTTACTGTAGAGGATGTAATGTGTGTGTTCTCATGGAATGGAATGTATAGGGATACCAGTTTGAGTAAGGGATGTAGTGGGTGTGTATAAGGGCTTCGGTGTGTGTGTGTATGTATGTGTAAGGAATGCAAAATTTGTTTCTGTGTATGTAATGTAATGCCATGTGAGTGCTTGTAAGAGGTGCATTAAGTGTGTGTGTTTGTGAGGTATGCATTGTGTGTTTCTGTGTTTGTAAGGGAAGCGTGGTTTGTGAGTGTAGGATGCATTGTATGTTTCAGTGTGTGTGAGAGTAGGGATGCTTTCTGTGCAAGTGTGTTTCTGTATATGTGTAAGGATGTATTGTGGATGTGTGTAGTGTGAAAGAGAGGGTTTGTGGGGTAGGATAGGGCTGAGAGGGGGCAGCTCTTTAATTTTTATTATATTTTATTAAAGAAAAAATATACAAAAAAAATTATATTAAGTTTTGTGTCTTACACTCCCCTTTAGTGTATCTCTTACAAGCCCCTTGTGTGTCTCTTAGCCCCTCCTTTGTATGTCTCCTACATCCTCCAAACCCCTTTGCATGTCTTACCCCCTCAAGTCCCTTTGTGTCTTACTCTTCCCAGCTCCTTGGTGTATCCCTTTTTTCCCCAGGCCCCTCTGTGTGTCTCCCTCACAAGCAACAATGTGTCTCTGTCTCCCTTACCAGCCCTTCTGTGCTTCTCTTCCACCCCTTCTTCAGCCTCTGTGTGTCTTCCACTCTCCCCGTCCCTTAATGATCTCTTCTATTCCCCCCGTCCCTTAGTGGTCTCCCATCCTGTCTCTTAGATCTCTCCCCTGCCCCCCTCCCCCTGTCCCTTAGAGTTCTTCCCCCTTCCCCTTAGTGATCTCTCCCCCTCCTCCCCCCACCCAGTGTCCCTTGGTGGTCTCTCCTCCCCCACCCAGTATCTCTTAGTGCCATCTCCCATCCCTTCCCTGTTGTGCCTCCTACCTCGTTTCAGTCCGGCCGGGTACAGGAAGCTCCTGTACCGTGGTCCGTAGAGCTTGGCCACGCTACACTGAGTGACTGGCAAGAGGGAGCACAATGCGCTTCCCTCCTGGCGGGTCACCCGAATCTTGCACCCCCCTGGGCCAGAGCGCCCTAGGCGACTGCCTACGGTCGCCTATAGAACGTGCCAGCCCTGTTCACGCAAGCAGGCCACTGACTTAATATAAGTATTAGTGGAAGTCAGTATAAACTGACTAAATCTAAGTATAAGTGGAAATATTAAAAGTCACACCATCCGGAGTGTAGGTTCGAGCATCAAAATCCAAGGCACGCACATCCGACAACCTCTTGCAAGAGATGAGGCAAACATAGACAAACCAAGAGAGACCCGAATTAGGAGGCCAGGAACGGAGTAAAGCCAAAACGACAGAGACACCCTAAGTAGAGGAATAACGAGGCCTGGGTGGGCGAGAGAGACGGAAGCCGTGCAGAAGGCGATACACCAAAGGGTGTTGACTCGCCAGACAACAATCAAAACCTTGATGGGCCGAAGATATGGCAGACCTTTACAGGCTTATCATCCAGTAGGCCCTACAGTTCTCAAAGAGGGAAGTGAGAAACTGCAGGATCGCGATAACAGAAAACAGGATCCATGTCTGCAGGATTGCTGAAACAGGATCCATGTCCCTAGCCAGGCACCAGCTAGCCCTAGCTCGCCAAGCTGACCCATATGATCATTGAGTGCCGTAAGCCAATGCATCTACCAACAGTCATCGAGTATCATTAAAAAATCCCAGGGTTCCTGAAATCCGTCATGCCATTAGAAGGAGCGACCCGTCCACAAGAAGAGGGTGACAACTATCGGATGGGTCATGAAGGAGACCCGGGTAAGACGTCAACAGCCAAAGATAATCCACAGTCATCGCCAGAATTTGCTGGAACCAAGGAGACAGAAGTACCAGTTCAGCCTGCTGCCAGTGGATCTGCAGAAGAGTGCAGGGAAGCATGGAGACTGGAGGGAAGGCGTACAGGAGGGTCGTGTGCCAGTCTTGCAGGAAGGCATCCACAAGCCACCCTATATTGACCAGATGCTAGCTTCATTATGCATGCAGTTTATGAGTGACAGGTTTCTCTACATGTTTTTATTTTTTATATTTTTTAAGTAAAAATAGGGTGGTGTGTGAATGTAGTGTTGATAAATAAAAAA